TACATTGGGCTGAAATATCCATATTTACCCACCATTTACAAAAATATTATTCGTCTAATCGCCTAATAATCCTATACCGAGTATCGCATTTAGTATCAATGACCAGGGTTGGTCTGACAAATCATTTTGGACATTTATATATTTCCTAACCACAAAATCAACATCTCTAACCTACAATTACGTTTCTCTTATTAATGTCTCCGGGATAGTGATCAAATCGACTTTCCAAAATCGCTTGGCAGCGGCGATTTCTAAAACTTTATACCTTTACAAAGTAATCTAAAATAAACAATTCATTGACATGCAAAATGTCAGCTACAACCTACCATTTGTTACACACCATGACCGCCGAACGCCGATAATCACCGACAGCCGAAGGCGAATGCCATCCATAAAAAGTTAGAGATGGTTCACTCGATGGTTTCAAAAGTGTTTTGGTTTTGAAAACTGTCCATTATATCTAGTTATTGATATGAATTATATTTTTCAACAACCATGGGGTATTTATAGGATATCCTATGATTTTGAGGAATATCATTTTTATCTACGAGGTGATATTGGTATCTGCACGAGAGAGCAAAGAGAATGAGTGCATATATCACCGAGTACATTAAAATGATATTCTGAAAAAATCATAGGATGTTCTTATTATCCTTCACAAGGAGTGTACAAAATGTATAATACCATTGCCAAATGAATTCCATGCCAAATAGAATCAATTTGGCGGGAAATCAACAAGCGGAGTATATCGTCACACTATCCTCCGCATATTGGGTTTCTGGAGTATATCGTGGCAATATCCTCCAGTTCAATATCTCTAACATCATGGAACGATTTCCACAAAAATCTATCCCCCGATCTATCCTAACGTAATGCATTGTTATTATTTCATTATTACCATCATATTCATAGCGTATCATGTCAAAATAAAACTTAATCACTTATTCACCACATATTGTTTTTGCAACTGGAGTCAAAACGACGCTGGTAGATGTTTGAGACACGTTAGTAAATTACGAATAATTATAGGATATCCTATGATTTTGAGGAATATCATTTTTATCTACGAGGTGATATTGATATCTGCACGAGAGAGCGAAGCGAACGAGTGCATATATCAATATCACCGAGTAGATTAAAATGATATTCTGAAAAAAATCATAGGATGTTCTTATTATCCTACACTTACAAGTAGTGTACTAAATGTATAATATCATTGCAAAATGAATTCCATGCCAAAATAGAGTCAATTTGGCGGGAAATCAACAAGCGGAGTTTTCCGGAGTATATCGTCACGATATCCTCCGCCCGGAGTATATCGTTACGATATCCTCCGGATATTCATTTTGCCAATAAATATCAAATTTATTTTTTAATGTTATTATACATTTAGTACACTAAGTGTAGGATAATCTATTTATAAACAATCACATTAAGTTGTAAAATATCCTATGTTAAACCTAAGTCACATTTGTCGTTTGTCATACGACAGGTGACATCGGCAGCAGATCGCAGAAACTGGAACGAACGTTTGCCGCAAGGACACCCTGCATTTGCCTTCGTATCTGGGGAAAATACACACTTCAAGTTGACACAGTACGGTGATCGCGAATCGCGATTGAAAGGTCATCACGGAAACCATGGTTTAATATCTTTTTGAAATAAAACTTTATAATTAACCCTGCGACTTATAATGTTAAACAAAGTCGCCTTTTGGAAATTTTCTTTTTAGATATATTATTGTATTAAATAAAACATGATAAATAAAAAAATAAAAAAATGGTTTAATATCAACATGCATTCAAAATGTACAATATGTAAAATATTATATTTTCAAATTGATTAACTCTTCATCCTTGGGTTAACTCAACATTATATAATGGGCATCCAGCTGCCCATGATCATATTCAGTTATCATTATTACATCTCTTTATTTCCCATTTAGCATGGAATAGAAATAGGATAATTGAATACAAATAGAAGTGGAAATAATCCGATTTGAATGTGATCTTTCAATTCAAATAAAAATGGAGGAGATTTTTGACTGTATTGGTAAAATTGTTATATCCGACGGGCGTACAGTGGCAGAATGAACTAGCTCAAACTCGTGTTAAATCCATCATTTGCATGACAGGGAACAATATTTCACCGGCTGGACTGTCCAGTGAATTCATTTATAAAGTTCACTATCCACGCAGAGCAAGCAAGCGTTTTAAATTTTACAGTTTTATGGTTTGTCAATCCTTATCCCTATATATTCACATAACAAATGTTTACAAAATGTGTGTTTTCAAACCGACCACTCATCCATAACTCAAGTATTGGCGTCTATATTTGTTTCGATTGTTATAAGCTAACTAGCCGCACAAACTACTCAGCTTGATTACATTTTCTTTCATATAGATTTGTACAAAGGCAAAAAATAATTAGGTGTATTCCCAGGTATACATTCACCAATCAGAAATTATAAATATTCAAAGTAGGACATGCACGATGGGATTGGAAGGTACAAAGCGTATAGTTACATTCCCGGGGAAAATCCTCCCGGGGACAGATTAATGTTCCCTCTATTGACCAAACTAGGTACTATTACTTCACTCCACCTTTTGAAAATAACTAACTCAAATATAAATATTGTCTTATTGTTATTTTATGAGCAGGATCAAATATGTTTTTATCCTACTTGGACCCTTTTGATACTATCTTTCATTTAGAAACTGAAAATATCTTATGGTTAAAGCTACAAAACCACAAATACAGGTCTCAGAAGGAAGGGTAGGTGGCTTCATAAAATACTGTACAGTTGTACTGTTTATCAATGTCATATTTTACGTGATATTATAGGAGAGTAAACCTAAAGCCTTTTATTATATAAATCAGTTAGACAAACCTTTAGTGTATAAATGATGCGCATTACACATCATTAAGCTTTTAAAAGATGGGATATCAAGGAAGCAATTAACCCTCAGTTAATAAGGGAATTGCTTTTCCATGATTTGTAACAGTACCCCAGCTGACAAGGTTAACACTCTGTTCCTTTTTGACATTTACACTTCAGGAAAATGAAAAGCAATTTTAGGGACAACAAAAATCTAAATATTTTAACCTAATTTTGTCTGACATGTTCATTTTGTTGATGGTAACCTATTTGGATCATTCTCAATTTACAAAGGCATGTTGAGTTAAATAGTATGGGAAAACAGTTGATTATTCAATTTGGATAAAGATATGTACCATAATGTGCCATTATATGCATGTTCATGCAATATGTATTTTTTGGCCAGCTTTTATTAACTAAACAGCATGACAATTTCTATAAACAACCTATTACAAAATATAATGTTACAAAATGTTACAAAATATATGCATTGTTCAATAAGGTTAAGGTAGTTATTCACTGGCAAAAGATGGCTCCATGCCATAGTATATGAGCAATGATTTGACAAGCATTCAGCTTTAGGGCATATTGTTGTAATAAAACACACTTTTGAGGATCTTTTTTGAAATTCAATAAGAAGAAGAGGAAATATCAGTGACGTACATATGATCTTCAATTTTCATATAAAAGTGTTTAAACTAAAGTATGCAAAAACAAGGTATGAACATGACAAAATGTCACGACCTAGTTGAGGAGGTCATTGAAGGTCAAATCTCAAATCTAGAGTCAATTTGAATATTCATTAATGGGAATTATAAATCCTCTTAATCTCCTCCTATGAAACAAAATTATATAATGGACATTCTAAAATTCCCCAAAAATTATATAAACTTTATACTTGATTATTTTTGAGTGTGTATAACTACCTTAAAGGAAACTTCAGTGTATAAAGCTTGTTATTATATGATCTCTATAGCTAAACCTTTGACAAAAAATTAAACTTTGATTTGATTTATTCAAATATTTTACTCCCTTCCGAATTTCTAATTTTGAACCTCAAAGTACAAGATAAAAATACAAAATATTTTATTTCATTTGCAACACTGTCTTGGCTAAAATAATTAAAGTGAAATATACCAGTGGTCAAAAATCATATGCATCACACAAAGTAACATGTTCACTTAAGACATTTGGATAGTATTTCACCATAAGAAGTAAACGTCTCTCAACAACTGTCAAGTGAGATCTATATCTGGAAAGAAACAAATCTGACAAGTTTTACATTAACTGTGTAACATAAACACATTTCCTACTGATGTTTCTAATTCAAACTGTCAACAGCCATTATTGTTTCAGTCAAGATTTTGAAGTTTAGGGTCCCCGCCAATGCCTTTGGGTATACAGTTTAGTACACAGAGGGTAGTACATGATATCTGTTGTTGCATGCTATGTAATCAAGCTGGGAAACATAATATTGCAATTGGATACTTTACCATAGAATATTGTTAGTATCAAGACCATTGAGTTATTTTGAAAAATCTTATTACTCAATATATGTGAAGAGAATGAACATTGCCAGGGGTTTCACTAGAATTTCTCACAACAGGCTAAATAAATAAAAACAACAGACAAAATTAATGAAAATCATAAATTTAACATGGAAAAGTTGAAAAGTCCCTAAGCTAAAAACAACAGGCGATTTTGTGAAAACAACCAGTGAAAATCGCCTGTTGCATGCTGCTTATGAAACCCCTGATTGCATGCTGTAATTTTACAATTTTTTTACAGCTTAAAAGACAAGGTCAACTTCAAGTTCATCCCAAAGTGTAATACATTTTATTTTGGATTGACTTCTTTCTTGCAAATGTAACAGATTTTTTATTGATTTTTTCAAATTAAAAACATTTTTATTTTAAGTATCAACTATAATGATTAAATAAAATTAACTTTTACCCCCTTCCCAAATATTTATAGGCACATCAACATCAAACTTGTATGCAAGTAATAAGTTTTTTACTGTCTTGATGTATTCCAAACATGCTCGTTTGAGATGTAATGTTCAGACCTGGAATAATAAAGTTAATGATGAATAATAAAAAATGCAACAATACTTTACTCTTACCTTTGAACAATGGGCACATCTTCCAGACAGAGATGGGACTGAGACTGGAGAACTGACCCAAGGTGAGCTCCATGAAGAACAGAGGAATGCCACAGATGATCAGGAATGTGAAGTAAGGGATCAGGAAGGCACCTACAACATACAAGTCACACATGTTGTGTTAGCATATAAGTCACATATATACAAGCAGTCTCCACATACAAGTCACACATACTCAAGTCAGTGTTCACATACAAGTCACACACATACAAGTAATATTCACATACAAGTCACATATATACAAGAAGCGTTCAGTGTAATCTGGTTATTCAAAAATCAAGTGGTTGCAGCAGCAGCAACCATCTGCTTTCAGTGCTGAGAAGATTACTGATATGCGTTTCATGCCTGATTGATTACTATAGAGTGTACATATATATTTAGAAACAAGGCCACTGATTCCAAAGACTTCTATTATACTGTTATGTGGGAGATGGCATATATGCAATAAAAATTGAAAATTCATTATAACATATTTATTCAGAATTTTGTATCAAAGGAAGGTATTAAACATTTCTATGGGAACCAATAAAACAATAAGCATTAACTTAGCTGATAACATAAGTAAAATATTAAAAAGCAATTTTATTGTTTTATCAAAATAAAAAATGTCACATCCACTTTAAGGCAGCTGAGTAAATAGCAAGTAAATCTAGGTTTAACTCACAGCTTGAGATAGAAAGATTACCTATCAGTTCAAAGCCAAATTTCCAAAACGCATTTTAAAATATAATACACACCAGCTTTATAAACACAATTTTAAACTAATTGAAGCAACTTTAACACTATATCCTGTATCCAATAAGCAGGATATGCGGATGTTTCAAATGTCGGAATTTCACTTCAGATTAGAGGTTTTCTACAACATGGTTTACATGAGATACTTCAAGTTAAACAATAAGTCAATGTTTTATGTTGACAATTGCGTCAGATGGGAACACAGGAGAATCAATACCACTAGGGAAAGCCTGGGCTTGCTATGGGGAAATTGGTAGTAAGAGAGGAAACACAAGACAAATGAGCTCTAGATTCAATGAAAAGTTGCTCGTGATCATCCATACATCTCCCAGATGAGGTGATCCTATCCCATCATGCCTCATGTCACTTTGACAATTTCATTGGTTAACTGGGTCATGGGATCATTCTAAGGCCTATGGGATATGATTTCAATTTGTAGCATCTTCCAAAGATCTAAGCCTGTTAGATTATGTTTGCTAATAGAATCGTGTAAGGAAACCAGCATATAAGATGTATTTTGGGTTTGGGGCTTATAATGAAGCTGTAACACTAGTAACACTACAGTGTTTTAAAATGATTAGCTGCAATAAATTACAAGGATGTTATTGGAAGAACAGTTCAATTAAAGATAATGGGACAAGTTAAGCTCAGTCGCTCTGAACTTAGACACAATATAGGTCTTTTTCTTTTCACCTCATTTAGTCACAATGTCTTTCTAACACAAATGAACTTATAGCACTAATAAAAGGATACCCTATACTTTTTGTCAACAATTTTTAATTCAATCTAGAAATTTCAGTTATGTACCAATACCACTCTCCAGAATAAATGTATAGTTTTCATATCAAATCTAAATAGTGTTGATGCATTAAGTACAAACCCCTTACTTAGATATTTGGCACGGTAGATATTTTTGGCCCACCCTGTCATAGGCCTGTACATGATACTTCATAATTATACATAATATATAATTATACCAGTACATGTATATCTTGATTATTGATGATGATACAACTGCCATGTAAGCAGGTGAAAGACTAAGGTACTCAGTACTAAAGGTAAAACAAAGACCAATACATAAGAGAAAAGCTTTTAACATATAATTTTTTGTAATGCCCAATTCTTTATAATTTATGGAATTTATTTCACATTACATATTAAAACATAAACACACGAAGCTATAACATTATCAGCTACTTGAACTGCCCAATCATGCTCATTTCAAAAAATAGCCTTTGATTTTAATGATTATCTGGCAACAATGAATTTTGACATTTCGGCATCTTAAAATCTTGAAACCTCCTTATTTGATCTAATTTCTTGATTCACTTTGCAGATAGTGAAATTGGCATGCTTTTAGAATAAATTGCTTTCAACATTCATGTTCTCTATTCTTCATTGCCACTTTATCATCTGTTCAATATTACCAAACAAAAATACAAACTTGGATGTGATATTATATGATTGTTTTGGATGCTTTATACCTGCCTATCATTTATCATTTATGGAATCAATTTTCTGCATCAATGCTTTTGGATTAACACGATTTGACCTATAGAACATTATCTTTCAATCAATGACAAATTTAAAAACATTATATCATTGAGTCTCACAGGGATGCACCAAACTCACCTTGTAATATGTTTGATGAGAGAGATTGTAAAATCCAAATACAGCTAAGATTTGGTGTTTGACTTGTTTTGAAAAGGATTCATTAAGAAACACTGCAAAAACTCTATAAAATTGCTAATTGGATGATGATCTAAACAAAGGTGGACCTCAAATAGAAATTGAGCAAATTGACGTTTGAATGTCATCATAATGCTCAGCTTTAATTAAATAAACTGGAATATTATGCACTTTTTTGATTATTTCGTTCTCAACTTATCTTGGGAAATGGAGCTTCCAATGTTTGTTTTTCAAATACATCGATAAATGGAAGCTTAATTCAACATTATGTAAAAAGTCACACACGCAGTAAACAAATTCTACTCTTGATTTTATCCATCTTTTACATTTTTGTCGGATAATTGTATGTAGCATGAGAACTGTATGTCTTTTTGTTTCCTTTGCAGATGCATATTAGAATTTTAAAACAAAGCAATTGCATGCTATACAATTCAGAGGTAAAAAGATCAATTTACAGAAATAAATGTACGTCAAAATTAGAGGGGAATTAACTATGTCAAAAGTACACTGGAAACACCCCATGTTCTGACACAATACAATACAAGCAAACAACCCAATTATCTTCAGGAACATCAATATGTGTCTCAATGAAAGAAGCCTTCTCCCGGATTTCAATTATAAAGAACTAAGCCCCAGCATCATTTAAGGCCATAGCAATGAATAAATGCAGATGATGTCAGGGATTTTTAGTGCCCAGGAAAGGAAATTGTGTTTTATATGTGCATGTAACTTTTGATCCCAAGATGGTCCCATATACACGTCATTATCTTTCATTAATATACTGAAAAGTTCAATTTAAAGAGAGAGGACTAAATTGATTTTCAAGCCTGAATTCACAAAAGTTTTTTATCTATTCACGGTGGAATCTCAATGAAGCGTGATATTACACTGACTGTAGGAATGCCAATCATGCTATTAATAAAAAACATCTCTACAATGGGAGCCAAGATTGCCACATTAAATACTTGTTCATACTAACAATTGGGGGAAAGTATGACGTATTAGGCCATGGATCTTAATAAGGTTGTTGGAAGAAATTTTAGCTTACATGAGGAGAACATACAATTCAGTTTAGTATTACATGTACATACACACTCAAAATCTATCATTTATGAACATGATTTGTAATTTATAATGTATTGGTTACATACGCTTTGGACAGGAAACTATATTGTCCTCTAAAAAGATTACACCTTCCATAATGTGACACAACAATGGAACATAAATCCTACCAATATAATAAGAGTCCAATTGTAGAGTTAATAAAGCTTACAAATATATATAACACAGGGCCTGTACTATAAAGGACATTTTCAAAATTGACCACTTGAATTGAGCAACCAAATCTAGCAACTGATAATAGATGAATAGACAGACAGACAGGCATACACATATGCAAAAATGAATTTTAGATGGATTCTCTAGATTACAATTCTTATACAAACTCATTCTTTGGGATAATATATTAATTTTGTAACGTCAAACATCAAATGTTAACTGACCAATATTTTGAGTAAGTTTCCTTACATAACATGTGTATATATTTATTTCACATGCATGTGGTGTTATTTCTTATGATGCTAAAAAATGTTTTATTACACTGCACTTTTGGCAAAAGTCAACTGCTAACAGGTTCAATAAGTTCCCAGTTTTATCTGTAAAAATATCAGTTTCCCCATCCCTCTTTCCTCTTTCCAATGGCAAATTGGAATCTCAGTTCAATGGCAACCACAAATTGTTAGGTGTGGTATGATTGATGTTTTACTGCTGAGAGATTGATTAAAGATAGCTACCTTGTTTGCAGTGCTATCATTTAATGTACTACAATAGTACCATGCCACTAAGTGCATCTTAACAAAAAATACATGTATGCATAACTTCTGTAACAATACACATGAATTAGACAGAGTGACATGAGGAGTGAGGGAATGTACTGTACATGTATGAATAAAAAATGTCTTTTTGTTTTTTAGTGACATTGACAGTTAAGGATAAGTTGTTTTTTAAGGTTAATTATCCCAGCATTCAAGCTCAGCTTTTCCAAATTTCCCAAGGCTAATTGGCATACTTGCTCAGTACAACACTAAGGTTCTCAGTAGTAATACAGCTTCAGTCAACTTAAGTGTAGGGAAACATATACCATTAGTTTTAAATGCAGAACTCATAATAGGGAATTTGATAAAGCAATAATTTTACATGAACAATTTATACATTAAATTGGCATCTAATAGCTTGTGGTATCCTTTTCTGAGAGCCACCTAAAGATTTTTAACATAGGTTTCCCTCATCGATCTCATGACAGTTTTGGAACTTTTCTACAATTCCAAAATGATCTACATAAAGAATTGTGTTATTTGCATAACCAACAGTACTATATACATGTATGTACAACCCACCTCCTCCGTTAAGCATACAGATATATGGAAACCTCCAGAGATTGCCAAGGCCGACAGCATATCCAACACATGACAGCACAAAGTCAAGTTGTCTGGTCCAGTTGCCTCGTTCTGTGTTCTCATCTCCTTCCTCTTCACCTGTATCATTATAGGATGCAGGTCTTTCAGCCTCTAGAGCTTTCTCCATCTCACCACTGCTCACCTCCTTCTGCAACACCACAACAAATTTACCATTAGAAATTGTGAATATTGCACCACAACACATGGACCATTGGGATTACATGTATAATACACCACAACACATGGACCATTAGAAATACTTGTGTAACAACACATGGACCATTAAAATACATGTATAATACACCACATGGACCATTAAAATACATGTATAATACACCACAACACATGGACCATTAGAAATAGATATACATGTATAATACACCACAACACATGGACCATTAGAAATACTTGTGTAACAACACATGGACCATTAAAATACATGTATAATAGGGGTCCCGCGATTCATCGATATATCGATGCATCGGCTCGTTTGGTGACGATACGAGCGTATCGATACGAAGACTCAAATATCGATACACCAAAAATATAATTAACATACCTGAAATCCATCATATTTTGCCGAAATCTACTGAATATTTGACTTTTTTGAGAAATTGTTCTCATATTTTTTGTTTGGTTTCTCGCTGGACATGACACGCCCAAAATGGTGTATAAATGCGAACAGAATGCTTAGCGGATTGACAGTCAAAATGCGAACAAATAACTCGTGTCTGCTATGTCTTCGTATATCATTGTACTTTGTTTTATAATTATTCGATATGCTTTTTGACAATTTAGTATGAATAAATATAATCTTTGAACTTTTTATTCGATAGAACGCCGCATTAAAAAATTGCCTACTAGACTAATATTGATAACTCTAATAAAAAACGAACAATATTTACGTTTGGAGTTTTAATGTTGACCAGAGTTTAGAAATTGAAACTTTTTGAAAGTTTTGAAAACAATTGATAGAATTATGGCCGTGTAAATATGGTTAGTTGTGATATCCTAATACGGCCCCTAATAGAAAATCTACTGCAGTACTTTGTAACATTCCTCAGTAAAGGGAAAGCACAGCCGGACTTCAAAAAATATTGCAAAATATGCATAGCTGGCTACTATACAGCAGGTAGGCTTGATACTTGACAATAGTTTTTATGCTGCATCTTAATCAAATGTCACAGCAGGTGATAGACTTTCAACTCGACCTCAGCTACGTCAGTTTTGCACCCCCCTCCCCCGGTTCAACTACACTATTATGTACCGTATCGTTGCTCTGGCGTGACCTGAGTATCGAGATATGTATTGTATCGTTTCATAATGTATCGTGGGACCCCTAATGTATAATACACCACAACACATGGACCATTAGAAATACTTGTGTAACAACACATGGACCATTAAAATACATGTATAATACACCACAACACATGGACCATTAGAAATACTTGTGTAACAACACATGGACCATTAAAATACATGTATAATACACCACAACACATGGACCATTAGAAATAGATATACATGTATAATACACCACAACACATGGACTATTAGAAATACTTGTGTAACAACACATGGACCATTAAAATACATGTATAATACACCACAACACATGGACCATTAGAAATACTTGTGTAACAACACATGGACCATTAAAATACATGTATAATACACCACAACACATGGACCATTAGAAATACTTGTGTAACAACACATGGACCATTAAAATACATGTATAATACACCACAACACATGGACCATTAGATATACTTGTGTAACAACACATGGACCATTAAAATACATGTATAATGCACCACAACACATGGACCATTAGAAATAGATATACATGTATAATACACCACAACACATGGACCATTAGAAATACTTGTGTAACAACAACACATGGACCATTAAAATACATGTATAATACACCACAACACATGGACCATTGGGATTACATGTATAATACACCAAAATACCAAAAATGTTCCTTGTAGACAACACATTCCCTACAGAAAGGTTTCAAGCTTTGGTCAACTAAAATGCTGAATAAGCATTTAATTGTTGAATATGAATGACTGATATAATATGTAAAGAGATATTTTCAAATTCTTTCATTTTATGGCATTTATAATCTGAAAGTTTGAATCTTTAATAAAAGATTTAAAGAAAAGCTTAACATGTCAGAAATACATTTCTATTGGTCTATACTATACTTTATGAATACCAAATACTCAGTCAGAAATGTTAATAAAGAATACCTCAAATGAAGAAATATAAGAGAACTTTTAAATCATCCATGTAATAAAATAATTATGTTTAAATGACTAAAAACAATTATGTTTAAATGACGAAAAACAATTATGTTTAAATGACTAAAAACAATTATGTTTAAATGACTAAAAACAATTATGTTTAAATGACTAAAAGCAATTATGTTTAAATGACTAAAAGCAATTATGTTTTAATGACTAGAACAATTATGTTTAAATGACGAAAAACAATTATGTTTTAATGACTAAAACAATTATGTTTAAATGACTAAAAACAATTATGTTTAAATGACTAAAAATAAATTATGTTTAAATGAATAAAACCAATTATGGCTAAATGACTGAAAGCAATTATGTTTAAATGACTAAAACAATTATGGCTAAATGACTAAAAACAATTATGTTTAAATGACTAAAAACAATTATGGCTAAATGACTAAAAACAATTATGTTTTAATGACTAAAAACAATTATGGCTAAATGACTAAAAACAATTATGTTTTAATGACTAAAACAATTGTGTTTAAATGACTAAAAACAATTATGTTTAAATAACTAATAAAAAAACTTCAAAAAAGCAATGCAACAATAAGTTATTCAACATTCTGTGCAGCAGCAAGTGTAGGTTAGTATTAGGTTTCAGATTACCCCAGAGTTAGTTCTGGGTCATTACATCATAATGAGATCTTATCTCAGATAGCTCTAACAAAAGCAAAATAACTGCACCTGATTGATGCTTAGCTGACGTGTCCTTAAAATATCAATACTACTGCGCTTCTTCAATTACTTTTCAGAGCTCTTAAAAACTGAAGAAATACCTCATTACCTGTATCTACTCTGATTTAGAGCATGAGATCATGCATGTTTGCACTTGAACTTGAATTCTGTACAATTAGCAGAAATTGTCTCTTGGATGATATTTTTTAATCATAATGGCATACAAAGGCATCTTGATGTTCAAAATCACTCTTTTAAATCAGTTGTTTCAGAGATATAATATTTTTAGCCTAATTTTTCACAAATGTCCGCCACTGCCAATTTTGACATACATGTAATTACAAATTGTTCACAGATTGCTGTTTTGCAATCTATGAACAATTTGAAAATATTTGAAGTTTTTTTTAAAGAATACAGTTCACTCATAAAAATTACTTAACAAAATAGATATTTATTTTCATTTTACATTGAGTTATGTAATACTTGTATACATGACAATCAGCATCAATTATTAGTGTGCAAAATTTAGCTATTTCTAATATTTTCATTTGTTTTTATTAAAAGAATATAGCGGGGTACAAAAATTGTTAGCTCTCAGACAGGATCAGATCAATTAAAATTAAAATAATATATTTTTATTAAATTTTTATAACTTTCTAGTAAATTGAACATCAATTCTTAAATTATCGTATATAAAAAATAACTATGAGACTTATTCTACAAATAATTTGAATAACAAAACACACATTTTAGAACATTGCAGTTTGAGAAGCTTAATATTCGAATTCATATTCAAAATAAATTTTATAGTTTTCATATTGAATTTTTGAATCAATTATACCTCAGACAATTTTACATTTACTTAAATCAAAACAGATAACCCCACAAAAATGCAGCAGTGAAACTGGTATATATGTATATATACTTAAAATATAACAAGCACGATCACCTAGAAAATAAATAATATATATTACCTTCATGTTACCAAAGAAATGGATTAGTTCCTAAACTAGTCATTCATTGACGCCTTAATCAATCCTTGTTTTTTCAAATTATCTGCTGCATAATTATGGTACTGGTCTGCTCTTTGGAAGAAATACAGCCAGAGACTACAGGCAAGATCCTAAAACTTCCTGTAGCTCCAAAAATCAATTACGGATTTTAATAGCCTTCGCTTAAACACGCAGCAGTGGCATTATCAATTTTGCGCAAAAATCTGATTTATGTTGACTCTCTCCAGTTCTATGAAATAATGTAAAATCAATGTTAAATAGATAATGCTCATAGGAATACCAAAATAAAATAATGCTCAATTAGATCGATCTAATCGGGAATCACGATTTCTCTAATTGAATTTCACACCGATTTGATTTGTAATAACTCAAGGGTTCTTCTCTTCTAAGAGCTCCAATCATATTAAAGCAATGTTATGCCCCCATCAACTCTCAATATGTTTCTGTTCTGAGAGACAGTCGCTGATTTTGTCTTTGAGAGTTAACATGGAGCCATATGAATGATTATGTGTATTACGTAAATCTTCAATTGATGGGAGTAGAAACTGACATTTTCGTTAAACTTAGATATAATTTACGGAGGCACTTTAATGTCATTGTAATCTATGTTGCCATTTTGAGTTGCATGGTTTGGTTGAGATTTTGTCTATTTGGATCCTAGTTTAATGATGCTGTTCATTTTATTCAAATTCTCAAGGAAAAAAAATTCCAAAATATTCTAAGTTCCACACTTGGATTAGAGACTAATCTAATTTGGTGAACTTTCTGATAATTGACATTTTGCAGCTGTAAAGGTTGATTTGGGCTTAGTTCAATTGCTATCATCTTGTACTTATATCAACCAAAAATTGGGATGATAATAATCGTAAAGGTTTCAGCTGATCCAACTTTATATTGTAACCGTGACCTTGCAAATCAAAGATGGATAATGATAACAAAGAAAATATGGGAGAAACTGGTGGAATTTGGATTCCAGTATCAAAACCATGATGATACTGCAGAATACTCAAACCTTATTATTCTCAGAAAAAGAGGAATTGATCCATAAGACTTAAAATGTAAATGGAATTCCTAAACCCTTCAATTAAGTTGTCTGAAAGTCAATAAGGTTGCATGCTGACATGTGTTTTTTTGTCTTTCTTTATTTGCCATATTGAACTCCCAGCGAGAACCATATTGTTACATGTATTATAAGGTAGATACACCTGATAAGTATTGTTGTGTAGCAACCAAAGACTGCAACGGATCAGATCATCTATAAGCTAAATCTGACATTGAATTAAGGGAGTCTTATAATATACCAGATATGTGTCAATTTAAGACGTAACCTTAATAGAATGCTTTTTTTCTCGGGAAGGAAGAGTAAATCAAAGATTGTCAGGTATCAAAGCATTACATCACAATAGCAATTAGGGAACTATTGATATCTTTGAAAACCATACCAAAAAGCTGGAAATTGACAACAAAACCAATAAACTGGAACAATGCTGAATTGATATTCATAATAAAGAGGATACAAATTTGTTAGTATCACCAGTGAAATCAAATTCAAATCCAATTTCACCTTAGCTGCGCAGCTGAAAGGTAGAGTCATTCATTCCAATATTGAACATGCAATAAATCAAGACCCTGTTCTTTGTATAACAATTAAGAGACCCTTTACCCAGGCAGCCTATATTAATGGCTTTTAAGGAATTTCTCTGCCACTCTCATAATGATAAGTACATAATGATTTTTTCTTACATGAAACCTATAAATTTCCACTTCAGCCTTTTCCTGTAAACCTATTTTACAGCTAAATAGAATGATTAAGTTAAATGTTTTTCGGATTCTATACTTGGCAAAAAATTGTTCAAACCTAATTCTCAAGAAGAAGGACCCTGAATTTCTACCATGGCTATTAATTGCATTCTCATTCTAAGATTTCAAATAAGAGGATAAGATCCACCTTAACAACGGATAAGAATTAGAAAACTATAACAATTATATGTTTACAAAATAGTTATAAGGGATTTGCATTTCAATATATTCACATTAAGCCTTAATAACCCGATATAAAATCTGATATAAAAACTATATGCAGTAAATACAATCATGCATGTTTTATATCAATTAATTTCTTGATCAATAAAGAAAAGAAACATAATGAAGTGAAGAGACATCTTTCAATTTCTTTGGTTTCTACAGTAGAACCCAATTTTTTTTTCATTATTAGAAAAATTGAACACATTGCTGATTTGATTTTACCAACACTTTATTAACAAATTGCCTTGTGCGTGTGCAAAATTTAAAATATGTACTTAAACTAGAAAAAGAAAAGTAACTTGAAAATTAAATTGTGAAATACTGACCTTATCAGACTGACCAGGAAGATGGTTCAACACCCATTTCTTCTGCTTGTCAAAACAGGGCATCTTCTCTTGGGCTGTGATATCTCAATTAGAACTCCTTATCATCCGATATATATTTTAATTGATGTCCTTTCAATACAGTCAGGTGCCAATGCTTCGCTGTGCCTAAAGTAATAAGTTAACTGTTAGCGCATCAACATAAACAGATAGTGTTACATGTAAAAACACCCTGGCCTTAAAAGTGATCCTCAATCGGGTTTATGTCAAGTGCTATATGTTTTTGCATTTTCATTCTCAAAATACATGTATTTAAGTACTTGGGCTCCCCAAGGTGAAATCTAAATATGCTATATATATTTGGATTGTTTCCATATATTTTAATCATATTTATAACATTTACCCTAACTTTGCACATATCAAAGACTATACACTTTAATATATCAATAGAACAATGTTGGCTCATTTGGTGATGATACTGTGAAATCAAGAAGTCCCAACTATAACAAAGGGAATGAAAAATAAAAAATAATTGAATTCGGAAGAGGAGTTTTTATTTATAGATGGCCCATAAAAGTCAATAAAAACAGAATCATATTAAAAAAAAGTGTTTACAAAGGGTAAAAATGTAAATACATTTCAAAGCTAAAGCTTGGAAAAACAGTTGTTCATTCATTATCAATGGTGGATTTTCATAAAAATGGTATATTTTCTTATTAAATTGAAAGTTAAAACTGTCTAGTTGTCTGATTATACAAAAAGTAATTGCCCTATATCACACTACTATACCCCCATACTGTATCCTGTGTTCCTTTAAAAGAAATACAAGCTACAGCGAAGTTGCAAATGGAGGACTTTTGTTTATTGACATATTCCAAGTGTTCTACTACATGTATACATTGTATAGATTCATCGAGCAGTTTGCAATGTATTATTACCAGAAAAGCCCAATAGACAAAGATAGAGAATACCCGCTCCATTTGCAACTTAACTGTATCCTGTATCCTTTTTAAATATATGCAGGGGTTTCATACATACTATAAACTACCACCCTTTAAACAAATGCGTAACTAGTTTCTTATCTAGTTAATTTCGCCACTTTATTTAAAAAACACGATAATTTCAAAATTATATGATGAGACAAACCCACTGATATGTGCCACCTATGTTACACATTTTAAGTTTTTTTATTTCACCATATAAGATCGCACAATTAAAACTGTATTTTATTTAAAAGTATGCAACATCTTGTGAGAGACCAAAACATAGCATCAAGTTTCACTGGGACTTCTTTAGAACACTTCTTATCAGATGAGTTGACAGCTCTCCTGATAAAGATGTGACTGGTCTTTTCTGGATATGTTCACCACTCTACATATAATCCGGTTTTGCAAGTTATATTTCGATTTTAACAGGTTTTAGTCAGAAAGATAACAAAGGTGAGCATTTTTAAGGGTTCAATCATGTTTCACTATCATCTGATAGATAACAGTGAAAATACGTAATCATGTTAAAGGGGCAGCAAAGAATGGAGTATAAAAATTTTAAAATGTCTTGAAAAGATAATGTTTCACGAATACAATCCTTATTCTATTATCTGAAGACCTGAAATATTTGATCACTTTTCTCTAAATTCATTGCAACTCTCAATGCATTTCAAGTCTTTATTGCACCTTTAAACACCCTTGTATCTTAGTTTGATGCAATAGCTTTAAAATGGTGTTAATGACCTCATTTTGAAACTGAATTTTCTATCCTTGAAATCTGAACATGAATATGTTATATCTCACTTGACTAAACTTCATTCACCATTTGAACAAGGATTTCTCAAAACAACCATGTACAATTTTATAGAATAACTATTATTTATACAAAACTGACAGTATTTGAAAACATTCAAAGTGATATGATCTAAAAGTTATAATATACACATTTCCAAAAATGTCTAGATTTTCATCTCTATTTTATTTGGAATAAACTCAATTAAGTTGTACATACCTATACCTATATGAGTTTCGGTGATTTTGCCTCAAATTATATGACCACTTTGACATTTTCTAAATCGCAAAGCTTTATTTAGTTTATTTGATAAACGTAAAGAATAATAACACTTAAAAGATATTTAGACACACCGTTAAATAGTTTAAAACGTCTTTCTTCCAAAGAGATATATTGAATTCCAATTTGGTCTTTAGAAAACATTTGATGTTTATTTGATTCTAACTTGAGACATGACTTTATGAATGGAACTATGCTAATGCCTAACCTAATGTGAATACAGACTTCTTCAATCTCCATCTACCATGTAATTTAGCTACAGTTTTGAATTTTGAATAAAGGAGCAATAGATGATCAACATTGTAATTTACAATCCTTTTTATCAATTCTAGACATCTTTTTCCTAAAGAAAAGTTGTGGAGCAATATGCATTTTTAGGTGCAAAATATTAAATCTGGTGATTAAATAATTCCCTTTCTCCCTCAGTCTATAAAAAACTAGAATCAATCCTACATGCATTTACTCTTAAACCAACTAACTAATTAGAGAAATAGCATTTATCATAGCTTATCAAAAACAAACTTGAAACCAAATGGAAATAGTCGATTTTTAAATGACTCGTTTTGGGATATCTTCACTTTGAAAGAGTTGACATAAGATGTCAATGCTTTGGAAGTCTTGTCATGGAAATAGTTGGCTTGGGTCATGTTGTTTTGGAATAAGCTTAATTTAACCTTGCTTTGAGATGTCTTGATTTGGAATGTCTTGTTGATATTTTTTATCCTATCACCCCACTATCAATGACATAAACTGAGCAAAGGTTTCCATGTTAAAAACTGTGTTCTATTTCCAACATTTTGATATGCATCGTTACTATTTCTGTAATTTGAATCATATTCATTTTAGGCGATGAAATCTCAAGTTGTGAATAGGTTAAATATGGGTGATCACTTTTCAATAGAATCTCACGAAACATCTCCGAAGCTGAATTGGAGTGGTGGATGTTTATATGTTATATTTCTCATCATGTCAACCATGGGTATACATCAACATAAATTATTGAATAAAAACTCTAAATATTCTTATTTTGTATTTCTTAAGAGCAGTATAGAGAATAGGACCGCAGGCTAGGAATACTGATATTAAAATTGTATATTTCTTTCATGTTTTCACATGTTAACATCCCATTCAGAATTGTCATGGAGCTGGCAGGAAAACTTATATTAAAATGCATTCATTATCAATTTAATTATAGACTTCAAGTAATAAATTTATATTATTTTGTTGAAATACAATTGTCATACAAAAAAATCACGAAGAATATTTGTGAAAACTTTCCACCTCAAGGAATGTATGTTTACTTAAAATTGATCTGTTAAGCAAAACCCATACCTTAAAAGCTTATTTGAAACTTCGTATAAACTATAAGCAAAATAAAATAGTATATCTTTTTGTGAGAAGGTGCATTAATAGTAAAAAATCAGGTCTAAATATCCTAATATAATACTATACATCTAATTTAAACTTTTAAAGGTTAAGCATATATGTGTTTAATCAAGCATGGTCACACAATGATAAATGGGCCAGATGTAAATAAATATAAATTATGATATCAGAATATTTCAAATCAATATGATCAGCTATGGGTAATAATGCTTGAGCATTTTTATTTCCATTTATTTGCAGAACACAAATATGGAACAAGGCATTTTATTAAAAACATGCAAAATGTCACCACCTGCCATTTGTGACAGACATTGAACACCAATCACTGAACACAAACATTTGAACAAATCACAAAAAGTTTGAGACCCATAACAATATGTCACCACTTTTGTTGGAGACATAAATATTTACAATCCTATGATATTATATCAAGATAAGTACACAAACATACAGGTAGAGGAATATATAGAGGTTATTTAATTGGAGGTTTTTGATACAGGGTTTATCTGAGGGGAATACAATAATAATATCTACCCGAGGGTTGATGTATTGTATTTACCGAGGGATATACCCTGTATCAAAAATCGAGCATTTAACCAGAACAACGGCAACGCCAAAGCGTAGCGAATCCCATCGAACATTTTTCAAAAGAGGCACCTTCTACCAAAAGTGTCATTAGACAGTGTGCCATGCTTATAGTATTCACATACCAAATATGAACAAAATCGCTCCACTACTTTTCGAGTTATAGTAAAATACATTAAAATGGCGGCCATTTTGAAAAATGACCGCCCTCTACCAAAAGTGTCATTAGACAGTGTGCCATGCTTATACGTATTCACATACCAAATATGAACAATATTTTTTTTTACATTTAAAACATATTGCTATTACAGTTTTACATATTGCACCTAAATTACTGTAAAATCGGCACTAAAATGGCCTCCATTTTTAAATGAGCAGCCATTTTGAAAATCGGCTTTCGAGCAGAACTTTTACTCCCATAGGGTATATGTTAGTGCTTGCAACGGTAATGGATCTCACTGCCGGTAAATTTCACCTCCATTACCTTACCGTTACCGATAATCGTTGACACTGATAATGTTCCTAAAATCCCGGGGAAAAATCTGAAAGTGAAACTAAAATATTTGGAAAAATCCTTAACGAAGCCGATTTCTCAGCTTGATTTCCCGCTCACATCAACTACAGTGGATATATTGTATCATCGTGTATCTCGTGTGTGATTGTGTATTGTTAGGAAGTCTTTGAATGATAATATAGAGTGAATTCGATCAAAATTGATCAAATTATTTGTGTTTGTTTTTACTTCACCGAAATATCACGTCACGTTATTTGTTAATCTCGCGGCATGGGAGATGATTGACAGAAGTGGGCGGGGTTTTGCTTATCCTCCCGCCTTTTACGAATGATTTGCAGTTGATTGACAGATTAGCTCTTCAAATGTGGAGATTGAAATATACATGATTGATAAAATATTCTTAAACGAACATTGTTTCGTAAATTTGACAATGGATCGCAATGCCAATCATGTTGCAGCAGCATGGCGATTATCGGCAATGGATTTTATTACCGGCAATTGAGAGTATCTACTGCCGCTGCCGACAATCCGGCATTACCGTAAGGCACTAGTATATGTGTACAAAATATGAATAAAATCGGGCCAACGGTATTTGAGTTATTGCCCGGACGGACGGACGGACGGACGGACGTATGTACGGATGGACGGACGGACGGAGGCGTTCCCTATATCCCTTCGAACTTCGTTCGATGGGATAATAACTGATTTATTCTATACTTAGTAGATTATCAGGATTAAGTGAGCATTGAATGCTATGGAACCTTCATCTAGTGACAGATGATAATTACGATCAAAACATGAATATTTTATCTCAATTTAATATATATCACCCGCTCACCTCTGATATCAATTATATTCCCGCATGTTATTTACCTATAACACTACTAAGTATGGAATAAGAACCAGTTATCAACTAAATTGATTGAGAAGGGCCTGAAACGCAGTATTATATATTATTACAAATCGTTATATAGCTTTGCTATCACCTTATCCTTTCACTACTTCCTTGTATAAACAGAATAGCCAGAAAAATTACTTTGGTAAACAATTCACAGCATCAGCTGAAAGTAATATGATTTTCAAGACCAACAAGCCAGGAGAAATAAATCTTTGTCTTGGGGCTAAATCATGTCAACTTGTTATCCTGAACAAACATGTACTGCTGAATGGAGTCATGTGGTTGGTGTTAAAATTCCATAAAATGACACTCTCTTTTTCAGTATAGGTAATTACATAGAAAAAATCATTGGAAAAACAATATGCGTGTGATTAATTACTTGTTTACAGAAATAGAAAAAGGTTTACCAAAGGGTAAGAAACTTTTTTTACATTTCAATGTTGGGAATTTGAACATTTACCCAAAAAGAAGAAGTAATGAGAAAACAACTCCTCTAAAATAGCAAATCCCTTCCCAATATTAACAAACAATGTGTATACCAGCACTATTGCACGGTGTATAACCCAAACGCTCCTACATGCACGACGGAGCGTTACATTTACGCGGAAACGCTCCGGAGCGAAATAAAATGGCGGCTAATGAAGATTCTACTATGACCGTAAGTATTATTTCTCTCGTTTCTCTTACATATCATATGTCATGGTGAAATATTATGTACCATTCGATGAACAATACCGTGAGCTAAGATATTATTTATTCAACTTCTGGTGGTAAACTGTTATTTGCTTGATCAAAGCTCCGTAGTGTAGATCGAACGAATCTGAAGATGACGATTTGACCACAAATTACGAATTAAACTAGTATTTTTATGAAAACGTTAATCTTTCTGTTTAAGTAGTAGATCACAAACTTGTATATTCTCATTTCCTAAAATCCCAGTCCAAATCCATTACTTGTTCTCGAGAAATCGCTTGTTTTCCTCGAAACGCTCCGTCGATTTAGAACACAATTTTAGAAACGCTCTTACCATTTTGTTTTGATATCATTTTCAGATTATTAGAGAAGAGTTCCGAATCGAATCTATCTCTCAAAAACGTGTTGTACTTGTTAGGCAAATTGAAACATCTGAACCTGGTGGTGCTAAACGTGCAACTAGCTGATTAAAGCCTATACATTAGATGATGTCATGCCTACATATGTGCTAAATCATAAAACTATAGAAAAAAACGAAAAGTTATATGTGAATTAATCTTTCTTCTATTGATGCCAAGGGGTATAATAGATCTTTTCTTTCTCTTCCTGAAAAGGAAAGGCAAGCTATATATTTCCTTAACTGATCTAGACTACCGGAGCGTTTCCAATTCACTGTGTTAACCAGATCGGAGCGTTTCTTGAATATGAGAATGTCATCATTTTTAAGACTGGATTTTCGGTCATCAAATCACTATTACGATAATGTATGGTGCGTTGAAGCATTGGAATTTGACTAAAATATACGTTGGTGCTCTAATCTTGGCTCAACTAATCACATGTATCGACAAAAGGGGTTTTGACCGGTAGAATGACAAATACGTTTTTGAATTTTGATAACTATACTGCTTCGTACAGCTCTTCCTAATTGCTTCAAACGTCAACAGCCAGCCACGTACAACATGAATATCACACCCATCGAATGGTATACTTGAAATATGTAACTCATACATCTTATTCCCATTATTGGGGAAATTGTCAGACGGCTCATCATTCCCGCCAGACAGTTTTCCTACTCCGGAGCGTTTCTTTGTTAAATTTCAGTAATGAAACGCTCCGTCGTGCATGTAGGAGCGTTTGGGTTATACACCGTGTATTGTTTTTCAGTCATATTGAGTATGAGGATAATTACTTAATAAATTATTAAATGTACATGATTTCTCTCCCATTTTATTCTTTTATTTTGTTCTTGAATACTTATGATAAATCATAGTCAATTTTTTGGGCTCTGTTTATCTTGTTTAGTCTTTCTCACTAAAGAAGGATCCAAATTCAGAGCAAGGAGGGCTTTTGTATATGTTTATGTTAAATTATGGCTTGTTTATGGTAAAGCTATTCATTTTCACATGGCCAATATCCCGGATTGTTGTCCAGCATAGTTTTCAAGATAAACAACCATGGCATTCATAACATCCTTCTCTCTAAAACAAATGTCTTAGACTTTCCCTGCTATATCTCACCATGGGGGTAATTGGGTAATTCAACCCCTCCCACTTATATTTTCTATATTGAAACTTATATAGAGAATATAAGAGGGGGATGACTTAGTCCCCACATATCTCACATCATCCAAAGAACATCAATGACCTCATGTTGACTAAATAAGGTTTGGATATTGTACTCATAGAATTAGATTTAACATCAGGGACTTCAAACTCTTGACTTGTTATCCAGATCCAAAAGATTTTTAAGGCTTAAAAATGTAGTGTCAATGCATAATCTAAATGATTGCAAAGAGAAAGAGACATGAAGGAGAAATAACCTATCCACAATAGAAGTCAGTGGCCATGCCCCCCCCCCCCCTAAGTTGGGCCCAGAAAAAAAATTGGGCCAAAAAAGGCCTTAAAGCCCGAAAAAGTGGGCCTTTTGGTCATTAATGGGCCTTCTAAGGCCTACTTTTCGATTTTTGGGGCCCAAAAGTTTGTTCCTCTGACCTGAAATTTGGGCCCCCCTTGTTTGTTCCTGGATCCGCCCCTGGAAGTAGTAGATACAGGCCATAGCCAGTGGGGGGGGGGTGTTCTGGGGGTCAGACCAAAGGTTCTTTCAAAATTATGCAGTTTTTATGAGAACTTCAAGTAATTTTGGGCCAACATTGCCAAAGAACCCCCCTCCTGGAATCTTTGAAAACTGTACCTCCCCCTGGTAAAAGCTGGCTTAATAGCCCTGAGATGGGGCTGAGGGGGTCAAGAGACTTGATGCAAGACTATTTATAATGACAAAAATGTAAACTACATTTTAAATGCAAGCTTTTTAGAGCTCAAGGAAACCAAGAAATACCTAGTCCTAGTTCAGCAAGTTAAAACTCTGCTGGGATTTTAGAATAGGCAAAGGCAGAATTTTAAGGTGTAGGCAATACTACTCAGGCCAGAAATGATACAACCCAGGAGTTTCACACAAGCATGGCTGTCTTTATTCATAAATATGATATGGATCTTGAATTCTTGATACAACAATATATGATGTAAGTCTGATCATAGACTTTTTCTTGAAAACCCATGGATGTAAAACTCTGATAGTCTAACTCATCAGTGCTGGGGCGTTGGGTGGGGCACCCTTTACCAAACCTGTCAGGTGCAGTTTTGTACTCTCTGAATCTGAAATGCCAATGATCTACAACACAGAGAGTTGATAACTAAGCCAGGCAAGGCGTCCATATAAGCTCGGAGGCCCGGGAGGTTCACTGTATGTAAACCTTGATGGGGATCCTCGGTGCACATGGGGTACCTTTTTTGACATTTGGTATGGCAATGGAGCCATATTTTAGGATCTGGTATGAGAATGCCCTCACCTTATGACTTATGAGGTATGGCAATTGGCAATGGTCAGATTTTTCTACTTTCTGGTATGAGAATGGTCGTGGAAAATATGCTACCTCATACTTCTGGTATGGTATAATGTCTAGTAGTTACATATATCCTAATTTGAGGTTGTTTTGGATCGTTTTCCTCATGGATCAGACTTCTTCTCAGGGACTTCTTCAATTTGAATGTTAGCTTTTTCTACTTTGGACATCTGGTATGGCATTGGTCCTATATTTAGACATTTGGTATGGCATTGGTCTTATACATGTATCTGGACATTTGGAATGGCTTTGGCCCTATATTTAGCCATATGGCTCCCAGGGTATGGCTTTTGGACGTTATTTTGGTTGGTACGGGAACACATTGGAATTTCACAGTTTGGTATGGGAACTTATTGATATTTGAGAGTTTAGCCTAGGACCCCAGCCAAAATTCATATACAGTAACTCCTAACCACCCCCCCCCCCCCCGGACACAATACTTGGCTTGGTTTCAATCATTTTACTGCAATCTTTTTGTGAGGCTATTCACTCATCTGCTCTATGCCCAGCTACTCTTATGCTCATTAAAACTAGAAGCTTAGCTAGATAATAGAAAACTGGAACTCAGCAAAAATGAACATCGACCATAAAGTTGGCGATGCAAGTGCTAACATAAAATGCCTACGACTCAGTCATAACGGTGCGTGAGATCATTATATAGTATCAAAAGATTGATTTATTCATAGCTGATAACACCAATAAATTATAAACTGTACAAACATTGCAAATACTTACAATTACTGAATTTAGTTTCGCCGGTTCAAATTTCGCTGGTCCTCGAATTTTGCCTATCTCCGTAATATTCGTTCAGTGCGATTTTGGAGCAATCCGTATTTGATTTTCATTTTTTAATTTGCAAATACTGCCCTCTATATACCTTATGTAACATTAAAAGTATATGGTAACTATTTATAAGGAAATTGGTATTATTTCTATGACATATCTTCTCACTGGCTCGCCACTGGCGGCTCTAGAACATATTGGGTTTAAGGTGCTATGGAAGTTAACAGGAAATGACAAAACAAAAAATGGCAAAACCGGCTGGATTTTTTTTTTGAACCAAGATAAAAGAGTTCTGGACCTCCAGTCAGTTTAAGGACAGGGTGCATGTTGGGAAATTTTCTGCATTCCTCAATTGAGTCACATGTTATTTTTCAAACATGAATAACTCCTTCCCCACATTGTCTACATCTTCCAAGTTTGCACAAAGAATGCACTTCTGTGCCTAGAAAAGCCTTGTGAGAAGGTTTGTTTTGTAAAATGTATAAAAAATGAGAAAATTCAGTGAAAAATATTTCTGAAAATTTTCTGATTTTTTTCACTGAATTTTCTTGTTTTTTATACACTTTATCAAAACAATCTTCTCACAAGTCTTTTCTAGGCACATAAGTGCACTCTTTGTGCAAAACTTGAAGATATAGACAATGAAGGGAAGGAGTGATTCTTGTTTGAAAAATAACATGTGACTCAATTGAGGAATGCAGAAAATTTCCCATCATGCACCCTGACCTTAACTCGTTCCATATCATTTACATGACCGGGAACACAATGAAAATGGTCAAAATGACCATAAACATGATGAAATAACCTTTTCAGCCCTCTGAAAATGTGACTGAAAAATAGCTAAAAGTAGGTGCTCAGGAAAGGTCAATGAACAGAATCTTTTGATTTTTTCAGAAAATGTGTCTAATATATTGCTCTGAATTTCAGGTCAGAGAAATTTTGGGCCCCCAAAACCCAAAAGTGGGCCCAAATTTTGAAATTTTGAGGCCCATTTCTTCAAAATTTGGCCTGATATAAAAAATAAGGCCTTAAAAGGCAGGGAGAGCACTGGTTCACAGAATTGAGAGCATTGCACCAAATAATGTCAGTGAAATACACATTATATTTGACCGGTATCGTGAGAGGTCTGTGAAAAACAATGAACGAGACAAGCGTCATAAGACATCAAAACAGCAGCAAGTTACCAAATACATATGCACAGAGAAAACCAAGATAATGAATCCACAGAATTCCCTGTCAAATTCTACCAACAAAAGAAATCTCACAGAGTACTTGCATTCTTACCTAGCAGCTCATTATTCCTCCCCACATGAGTGCCAGAAAAAACATGTAATAGTGTCCTCATCCTGTGATGTGGTGTCATCGAATGAATGATATGAGCAAGATCAAGAATACACATGAAGAAGCTGACACAATACTAATTCTCCATTGTTCTGAGGTGCACCAAAGGATACCGAATGCAAGGATAGCCATATATTCAATTGATACAGATGTTCTAGTTCTAAGTATTAGATTTAACCAGGACATGGGACAGTATCCCCTATTATATATGGGGAGAGAATCTGTAAGAGTAGCAGATATTGCCAGTGCTCTGGGACAGCAGCGTTGCTTAGCATTGCCTGGTTTTCATGCCCTGACTGGATGTGATTCGACGAGCAGGTTTCATGGGACTACTAAGGCAACATGGCTCAAGCTCTTCCTTGATGCTGACAATGACATACTTGATGCCCTCATTGACCTCAGTAAGTGCCGAGACTATCATGAAAGTAATATATTTGATCTTGCAATACTATTTTCGACTTATTCGCCAATTATCATTAACCATGAACTATTATTTTATACATAAACATACATGAACCTATTTTCATAAGTATATTGTACATGCTTTTCAGGTTCACCAAGATGTCTAACGAAAGCCAAAATATCAACACTGACGCGTTTTGTGTGTTCGGCCTATACAAAGAAGCAAAGCAGTGACATTGGCAAGCTACGCTGGGAAATGTTCTTGGTAAGTTCTTTTTCTCTTTTTCTCTCAAGGTGAACTACCTTGTTAATATTATTTGTAGACTAGATAGATAAGTGTAAACTACATACTAGATCTAATTACAGTGCCAATCATTTCTTCAGAAAAACCAAGCGGAGTCTGAGAAACTTCCCCCTACATATGAAGCTCTGTATCAACACCTCCTACGAGCACAACTTCAAGCCAACACATGGGCAAATAGTACTATGAACCAACCTCTAGATCTTGATCCGGAAAAACAAGGTTGGAAGCTTGAGAATGACTGGTAGGTTATCCATCAATGTAACAATCTGAGAAGAGCAGATATATTATGACGAAATTGCTGCTAATGTTTTTTTTATAAAACTTTGGCAATCAATTGTTTGCATAATTTTGTTTACTAATGGAATTAAATAGCAATAATAAACCTGTATATTCCATATATTGTTTACAGTTATGCACCAGTAGTGACAAACCTAAAGCCAGCACCAGATGCAGTGCTTGAACTCATCAAATGTGGATGTTCACCTGGCAAGTGCAAAGACAATAGATGCCAGTGCAGAAAAGTTGGATCCGGACTAGTTTGTACTGAACTATGTGGATGCTGTGGGGACTGTGAAAATACAGAAATATTGGGTGACATAAATGAAGAATCCAATGACTGAATTTACATATACAAATTTATTAAAGCCTTGCATATTATAACCCAATGATGGACTAAACCAACACTACTGCTGTGAAGAGGAGATGAAAAGTAATAAGACTATGAGGTGTACACATATGTATAGTGTATTTGAGTAATTTGGTAAAGAATTAAAACAATTGAAATATGAGATTACTTTACAATACCAGTATGAGAAATACAAAAGGCTAATAATATGATGTCACAATAGCAAAAAATCAGTAGTCAATAAAATGTTCTAACTTTCCATTAAACTTTAAAAATTACAATTAAAACTGAAAAAAGTTTTACCAATGTCAGAATGAATTTCTATTTTTATGCCTCTTTCTGTGCTTACAGGTCTGGTTGCTATGGAAACCATTGTAACCAGAAACAGTTTTCCAATTACTGATGTGTCCATATCTGAATTTCTTAACCAAAGACATCATTGAAACAAATATAGTAAAATTAGCACAGTAACAAGCATTTACTTTGTTGAAATACAATTATTTTCATGGGATGAAAAGGAAAACTAAAATGTGAATTTATTTGAGTTTGAAAAAGAGCCCAATTCGAGCTATCATGAGTCATGACATCACAATGGCGAACAAATCGATTGTTTAAACGTAATTCCAAGTTTCCTTATTTTTCTTTAATTTCTAGTAATGAGCAGGAAAATGATAAAAACTCTACAATGTACTGCTTCCTCATGTATTTTATGTCTGTTTCTAAGCTAAAAGTACGATTTCTATGGACACTGTTGCCCCTAGCAACGACACTTAATTTACAGACTGCAACATCAACAACTCCAACTAAATAAAATGCACAACTGCCAATTTGAAACAAAACTTGCATAAGATGAGGAAACATTTCAAATAAAAATATATCATAAATTAGTAATTCAAAAAATTGTGAATGTTATGTTATTTAGATCTATGAAATTGCACTATTGTAGTGGCCCCCTAGTTTCAATCACCCCTGGAACAGAATGGTTTTATTTTCATGTAAAGTCAGTGCCATAGCTGGAAAGAGCACATCAAAATTAACAAATGTCCCAGACATTTACCTACTTTCGGTATTTTGAAGAGGTAATAAAAATGATTGTAATGTGGAATTATATGTAAATTAGGAAAAATAACAAAATTTGGGCTATTATGACATCACAATAGCTCAAAAATCAATTGTTCACCAAATTGTGTTAAATGACAAATTCCCCTATTACTTCCCTTTACTTCACAATAAATATTATCAAAAATGATTATAACTAAAAAAATCTACAACAACTTTTGTATTTTTAGGCCCGTTGCAAGGTAAAATTTGTGGTTGCTATGGAAATGGTTGCCCCTAGCAACAAAATTCATGTTACAGATTTGGCAACATCAAAATTCTTATTCAGCACCTCAAACTCTATAAAGTACACTATGTTGCCAAGCTGTAACAAAAATTTCCCACGAGACCACTTAACAGCCCGGACTAACAAGTGTAAGCTAAAAAGGTACCCACATTACGTGCAGTGGAAAGTTCCGTCCATTAAAAAAGCCAGATGCAGTCATCTTTCTGGAGGAAAGCAAAGGCATAAGAAGGATTATATCAAATAGGTCTAGGTTTATTATTTCGAATGAGTATTTTATTGTCACAGTTAGAGAAAAGGGAAAAAGTTCATAATAAAAAATATTTAAAAAGTCACGTAGTGTACCAATATGCATTGCTTCATAATAATCACTTTTTATTTTCTAAAAAAACTGATCCACTGATAATCGCCACCGGATTATCGAGATTTTTAAACTTCAAAGACACAATTACAGATGGTCTGCGGCTGAATCTAATCTACTTATTAAATATGAAACCCATTGGTTTCCCTTGGTTTACATGGGAATGACGATTTTCAAAAATTCATCAAATAGAAGAAAAAAAATTGGGAAAATTTGTGGCATTGGAAATGAAGTCAAGTTACATTTCCATCAATATTATAGGTACTAGTATTTTCCTCGCAGGTTATGTAAATAAAAATTCAAACGTAAAGGGGGGGGCTAAGGTTGCCAAACTTCGGAAGGGGAGTGTATTTGCCAGAAAGACGAGTGTATTAGCCTCGAACAAGTTTCAAATCGTGTATCTAAAAAGAATTTGACAGCATTCCTCAAAAACGAATTATAGTTTATAATGATTTACAAGTTCATCTAAACTGTTTTTTTCATTTCTCAAAATGTTCACGATTCTCGTCATTTGTGATAAAAAAAAACCCAGCGGAACGGTGATAGAAAATGGAATGTTTTATTTTTTATTCTCAATTCAAAGAAAGAACAAATAGGTTTTTCAGCATTAGTTGTTCTTTGTTGCAAGGCATTAAAATTTAAAAGAAAAGAATGTTAGAGCCCACAGAGCACTGTCAGACTGTGGATATATTGTTTTTTCAATTTGGTCTTTTTGAAATTCATTATGAACTCCTCCTCTATAACAAAATGAAATAGCAAATAAAAATCTTTTGATTTGGAATCTTTTCAAAAATCAGCTAAAAGCGTGGGAATTGCATGTTTCAGAACTTGACATATCTGTGAATGAACATGTGAATGAAAGGATGAATTGTATGTATGACAAATACAAAAAATGCTTTTATGTTAGGTACACCAATGAAGGGGGAGGTTTGTGGATAACATAAAAAATTGAACCCCTGGTCACCAATTGCTGGCTACGCCACTGAGGTGGGGTGGCCGCGTCCCAAGCCCCCCCCCCAGATCCGCCAGTGTGACTTGTTATAAAACTACAAGCTCAATGACAATGGGTCACATGGCAGTGGCGGATCCATGAGGAACCAACAAGGGGGGTGCCCAAATTTTCGGTCAGAGAAAAAAAACTTCCGCGCTTGCGCAGAAAAAAAAATTGGGCCCATAAAACCTGAAGGCCTTTTTGGCCCAATTTTTTTCCTGGGCGCAAATTAGGGGGGGGGGGGCCTCCCCCCGGATCCGCCACTGCATGGTTATTTTTGGTGCGCCATGGCGCCATTTTGGCTCGCTGTGTATTATCTCTGACAATCGACTACAATCCATCAAAATAATTGAAAGTAAAGTAAATAACCTAACTCCATTCAAAATCACAGTAAAGAACATTTAAGCAATTTTTCGATAATAATTTTGAAGCACATCATTCATTATAAACATGTTATTTGTGGTGCAAGAAGAAGAAGGTAAATCTAACTCTGTCACGCAATTTAACACCAGAAAATCGACCGTTTTCAAATTTTATGGCCGAGGGTTCTAGACTATGAGACTATGAACCCCTCTAAGCCAGGGGCGGATCTGGTAATCAACAAGGGGGGGGGGCCCAAATTTCAAGTCAGAGAAAAAAACGTCCGCGCTTGCGCGGCAAAAAATTTTGGGCCTCTAAAACCCAAAAGTGGGCCCAAATTTTGAAATTTTGCGGCCCATTTTCTTCAAAATTTGGCCTGAAATTAAAAAATAAGGCCTTAATAGGCCCAGTAATGACCAAAAAGGCCCACTTATTGGGGCCTGAAGGCCTTTTTTGGCCCAAAATTAATTTTGGGCCCAATTTTTTTTCTGGGCCCACCCAAGGGGGGGGCCTAATCCGCCAGTGTAACCCCTCCACCTCGTGTACTTCACCAACGCAGCAACCTGTTTTTGAGATAAGGGGAGAGGGTTCAGGGTCTTGAAGCAAGACTAGGGAGTGCTTCTGATCGAATCTGTGCTAAACTACCATGTCACTGTAGCATGGTTTACTTCATTAAAAGGTAAGGCAAACTATCTCTAGGGTATATCAGAATAGGTTATATCAGAAATAGTTAATAATGTTATGCTGATATGCTATTCTGCTATTCTAATCAGTTTGACTTTAGGGAAATTAATATTATAAATCATTTTCTTTGTGAAAATGATTTCATCCAATACCGAGCATAGTACGTCCAAGCAACTTGCGCAATCATATTTTCCAGCGATATTCATCTTTGTGATGATAAATAAACAATGTTTCAAAAAATATGTTGAATACTTTTTATTCTGTGATTTGATTGCATGAAAACTTTAATTTCGTCATGAAAGTATCAATAAGTCACCGTATACCAAAATAATGCACTTAATTTCTCATAAATATGGCAATAAAACTTAACAAATTGAATACAATACAATCGAAATATGCAACATGTCCTCAAAAATAAACACAGAGAAAACACTTGAACATTTCAAGTTCGTTAACATTTAACTTCAGTAAGTCCACAAAGACAAACATAAGTCCTGTTTTAATACGTCAGGTGCTGTCACTGAAACTCTTGAACATTTGAAATACAACCTCGATTTAACAGCACTCGACACCCATTGTTATATTTTGCCACAATATCATACACGTTATCAAAAAATGATACATGAAAATTCTTTAAGATTTCTTTGATGGTACATTTTAATAAGGATATGAGATGTCTCGCTGTGCGGTGTGTGGTGGGGTATACCCTACTCGCACTAGGATTGGGGGTCAGCATCAGGTATACAACATAGGATAACAGTCGTGATTGGATACAAAAATTAGGATTTCACAATATATGATATTTTCCTACACTTAGTGTACTAAATGTATAATAACATGAAAAAATAAATTTGATATTTATTGGCAAAATGAATATCCGGAGGATATCGTAACGATATACTCCGGGCGGAGGATATCGTGACGATATACTCCGGAAAACCCAATATGCGGAGGATATTGTGACGATATACTCCGCTTGTTGATTTCCCGCCAAATTGACTCTATTTGGCATGGAATTAATTTTACAATGATATTATACATTCAGTACACTCCTTGTAAGTGTAGGATAATAAGAACATCCTATGATTTTTTTCAGAATATCATTTTAATCTACTCGGTGATATTGATATATGCACTCGTTCGCTTCGCTCTCTCGTGCAGATATCAATATCACCTCGTAGATAAAAATGATATTCCTCAAAATCATAGGATATCCTATAAATATGGATTATTATAAATTTTTCTCTTATAAATCATGGTTTCTGTAATCCGTAGTAGTTATTTTGGATAGTTAGGATAACGCGGTGAGGTATTTTAACAAATCTGCTTGTCTTAGTGTGATCTGGATACAGTCTTCTATTTTACCTATCGATTTGAGTTAATGAAATACAAAGTAATACGAGGTAAATGGTGTTCTGAGAGAAGATCAGGAACATATCGCATCGGAGTTGATATCATATATTCGGTTGTATGGCATATCCAATGGGTATTTAGCCTTTATGGAAACAATTTCTCGTATTGGGAGAAAAATGTGGTGACGTGACGCAAGCAATGGTAATACCTGTTTACTTAGAACAGGGCATGGATGATTCTTGAATATTATCAAATGGAGGAGAATAAAATCAATCCTTCTTTTATCTAGAAACGTGTAATTATTTTCTGTGTTTGGATAAATGGAAATCCACAACCCTGTCCGATTAGTCCAAGTGGTCCAGGGTTCGATTCCTTGCTTCGACTAACATCTAGTCTGTTATTGTATTTATAGCCATTCATCCGCAATTGTTATTAATGCAGAAGTGCGTGTGTCTGTACAGTGCACATTATAGGGGAGAGGGGGGTCTGAGGTTAGAAGGAAGGGTCGCAGTCAACATTACTACATAAAATATGAAAAATTGCTTTTATTGAGGGTAATGATGATACACACAGACATATACATACTCGTACATACATCATGCTATAAACATTGAAATTATTGGGTTAGTTGTACCAAGTGTATATGAACCTCGTGTTGACGAAGTTATTCTTAATTATTTAAGGAGCGCCGAAACTGATGAGCACTGCCCACCCATATCAGCTCCCGCCAGTGGGCGGATGGTTGGAAAAGATGCTGACAAAATGTACGGCATGGTTTTCTTTGAGTGTAAGGATGGTTATAAGTTAATTGGCACACCAGTAAGGGTCTGTCAGATTGACCGAACATGGACTGGTTCACAACCTATATGCAAACGTAAGTACTACAGTTCATACTCGTATGTCATTTCAAATTGACTTCAAATAACCAATGACCTTAACGAGGCGCAACAAAGTAACTGCAACAGCATTTTTAGCCATGCCTTATGACTCCGAGAAATGTTCCTTGATAGAGACCCATTTATCATATTTTTCAAGCTGATCGCGATGCGAAACCAGCAGGAATCAAAAAAAAGAATGAGCCAAAAACCTGTCAACCGAGCCTGAAAGATCCAGAACACGGCAAAGTAAACGGCCCTCGAGCACCAACAGCTGGTGCCAAAGCAGAGTTCTCATGCGGGGATGGCTTTGAGCTTGATGGGCAAGACGTTATAGAATGCGGAGAGAACGGCAAATGGAAAGATGCTTTTCCAACATGTAAACGTGAGTAAGCAGTCGTCCAGATGTCTGGGTAGCCTTTTTATGAATAGTTGAAGTTTAAGTAGAGGCCATTTGGATTACATAAATGACACTATTTGGATCAAAAACGCAGTCAGTTCATTTTTCCGATCTTCGGAGGATTCCATGATAACGTACTCTATTCTCTTGCACGATTGTATACTCTGTTTCTAGCGGTCGAGTGCAGGAAACTGCGTCCACCAGATGCCGGTGATATTGAGTACGATGCCGACCCTATCGGTATCAACGCCAAGGCTAAGTACCTATGTGACCCTGGCTTTAAGCTGGTCGGACCAGGAGTAAGAACGTGCGAGAGAGATGGGTCTTGGAGTGGTAACAGTCCGAATTGTGAAGGTAAATGCTCCAAATCTCTAGCTAGATGCCCTTCCTTCTCTATCTTTTTCACTTTTAGGGGTACATGTTGGGCTTGGTGATCATAAGGTATTTTTAAAAAAGACTTATGTCGTATTTACTATATATTGCAAATAGAAACTGCCCCACTTTTGAACCATCTCAAAAGGATTTCTATTCGAAGTCATTACATTAATTGCAATAGGGCCACCATACGTTCCATTACTAACACAAAAAGTGAAAATGTTATGTAGATATGAATACTTGTTATTATCTTGCCATCCATAATAGTGAATAAAAAACGTACGTGTTTTTATTTGATTTTTCTCTAGCTATTGACTATTGTGCCAGTAAACCGTGTGGAAACGGAGGGTCTTGTTTGAAACAGGAACAAGGATTCATCTGCACCTGTAACGAAGGCTTCAGAGGAGATAAATGTGAAGAGCGTAAGAATTTTTGATTTACAATCGTAACTGTAGTTTGTACATAAAAAGTTCATGCAGAGGGTGAGCCAGTAAAGTCACTTTTCTAAATTCATTCCTTGTGAAACGGATGAAATATTTTTATTGGCCCATTATGTGCATGCACATCATTAACAAGTTATTACTCTGATGTGATTGTCATCCCTCACTTCATTAACTCCGCCAAATATTTTTTTGCGTTTTATTATGTCACCTCCACAAGTGGTGACATAATGTTATCATCTCCACCTTTTTGAAGATGGTTTTCGGCTGGTGGCGGTCAGCGTCTGGCGTTCGGTGTCTTTGACAAATGGCAGGTGGTGACATTCTGTATGTTAATGTCATGTTTTACACGTTGTTCAATTATTGTAACATAGGTATTCAATGTAATGAGGCACCATCTCCCGTTAATGGTTTCAAACTTGAGAGTGGGGCGGGTAACTTCGTAGGCAATATGGTGACGTTTGGATGTAATAAAGGCTTCAACTTGAAAGGATCAGAGAAAAGGACGTGTCAATCAACCGGAGAATGGGATGGCATTGCAGCTACATGTTCAAGTAAGACAATGTAGTAAATTAGTGTCCCATTGTTTGTAGATGTGCAATTCAATGACGATATTGGGCTGGAGGACGACTCGTAGCTACACCAGGCATATATTTAATATTCCATATCCTTGTACCTTCATATTTCATTATTATAACATGTATTCCATGGTCTATTCCACAATATGCCACACCCTCCAGTCTTGCAGTATCATTTACATGCCATATTTTCAAATGGTCTCGCCATAAAAAGAATTGCCATCACTAACTACTTCGAGGGATGAGGTCACCTCCTCTATAGCTTGGAGGGTAAAACATTGCTAACAGAAACCATGGGCATTCTATTGAAAGGCCATGCAGAAACTTATGTCTTGAAAATAAAAAATTAAATGTTTCAAGAAAAAAATTGATTAATGGAACTTTAGTCACAGTAAATGCTGTTCTTCATGTGATTTATACCATTAATTTCTGAATTTTTCTAGCTTTAACAAGACAATATAATAATGCATCATTTTTTGAAAATAACAGCTCATATTGTAAGTGTTTTCAAAAAAGATACCGTACTAATGGTTTATGATAGGATTTTTCAACAATACAAGTTTGACCCTCCAAGTAGTTGGTACTGACTTTGATGTTGCAATTCTATTTAATTGCCTAGAAACAGAAATCACGGTTGAGAGAGCTCTTAACTTGTTGTGTAAGTTAAGGGCGATCTGACACAGAGTCATAAATATTGAGTTAATTATTGACTTACAAGTTCAGTTGATTAAAACATTAACTTGACATTTTTGTATCAACATAAATTGTAGTGACTTCGAGTTTGATCTGCGGTATAAAACAAGGTGTCATCTTCACTGTTTAAAAGTGTTTGAAAGCGGAAATAAAATTGGTTTACAGAGATAACCCTTTGGGACCAGTTTGTTAATTGCATAATAGACCAAAAGCTACATTTTATTGGCATTACTACCTTGACTTGTATATTGAACTAAAAACATATTCATATGTTGGTGCAATACTGGCAGCTCCACCATCTTGTGTGCCATCGTAATTAGTATGAAGGATCCTGATATACACAGGGACCCATAAATAAGGTTCTATTCCGGTGCACAGTGTGTGAAAATTCTACCACGTCTGTTTCTAAACTCAGAATACTGACAGTTTGATATATTATTTCAGAGGAAGATTTCTGCGGAGTTATGCCGTGTGAGAACGGGGGAAAATGTGTCAATTCACAAGAAACCCCAGTTGGATATACCTGTACTTGTTTAGCTGGCTTTGAAGGCGATAGATGTCAGACGAGTAAGTATGTCATATATACACGTCAGCCATGACTGCAGTCTGTGATTCTCGGGCCCGGGTTCTCGGGTACCAAATTTGGCATGACCTACAGGCAAAGCTCACAAATATATAGGTCAAGGTATTTTAAAAGGTCAACGCTCAATTCTCAGGTTCCTTGATGGAGGTCTTATCAATATATGCCACTTTTATCCTATGCCAAGTTGAGTTTTAGGGAGATAAGTTGGTAAGATATATCCCGTATCCTGATTTTGAGGTTTCCATATCCAGAACCTCCATATCTCCCGCCACATCTCCCGCTTCGGTGCACATCTTCCCGCTTCGGTGCATATCTTCCCGCTTCCGGTAATTTCACTGAAAACTCTACTTGGTATAGGATATAGCAGTTATGTACGGTCGGTTTGGATATTGGGTTCATCCCTCGTGAGATATGCACATCTACCTTCGGTCCCTACGGTCCCTCAGGTAGATATGCATATCTCCCTCTGGATAAACCCAATATCCAAATCCTCCCAGTACATAACCCTTATTCATCTTGTCTTGGTCTATTGCGTCCATGGCTGGTTAAAGTAACACATGCTTGTCATGATGTACTGTACTCCTTATTCGAATAATCTAGCGTTGACAAATCCACGTTCGAATAGCCCCAGAGTATCAAGTAAATGTGACCATTTCTAATCATGTTATTCATTGCAGAGACGAGTGTATGTGCCTCCAAGCCTTGCAAAAACCAAGGGGAATGCGTTGAAATTGGCGAGCAAGACTTTAAGTGCACATGCCCACGTGATTATGGAGGAACCCTCTGTGAAATACGTAAGTGTCCCATTATGGGTATTCCCATGAATGCATGTTAAATCAAGATATTGTGTCATTCATTGTTTTTTAAGTCAACCTACTTAAATTATATTTACATTTGTAAACCATATTTTTCGCCAGAACTTCTCCCTTGTGATCATCACCCATGCTTGAATGGCGGCTCTTGTATCAACACGCAAACCGGTGGATTTGTTTGTAAATGCCCGGATGACCTACGTGGAGAACGATGTGAGACAAGTAAGTGCTTTTCTTATCTTCTTTACAATAAATAGATAATGATGATAATAAATCTTGAAATCTAAAAAATCTTGTTCAGTTGTCACATTAATGGTATTTAAAGGTTCTAAAGTAGTACAACACTGGGTGACAGGTCATCTCAACCCCAAGTCATCTTAACCCAGTCCAACTCAACCCCAAGTCAAGTCAACCCCAAGTCAAGTCAACCCCAGTAAAACTCAACCCCAAGTTAACTCAACCCTGTAAAACTCAACCCCAGTAAAACATTGTACTTTTATGAAATAAACTTTCATATCATGTGGAATATAAGTTTATCAATATATAAAAATATAGGGGTTGAGTTTTACTGGGGTTGAGTTTTACAGGGTTGTGTTAATTTGGGGTTGACTTGACTTGGGGTTGAGTTTTACAGGGCTGGGTTGTCTTGGGGTTCAGATGACCAGGAAGCCAACACTGATATCCATATTATATGGCATGCCACTGGGCCACGCTTTTTCATTTATTGTTCGTCTGGTAAAGTGATTTGTTTCATCGCAAGATCAGTTGTATTTGTGTTACATCTGTCAGAAATAAACTATATTAACATTTTTGTAATTGTATTTTTCACTAATAGACAAGTGTAATTAAATACTTGTATTGTATGTCATCAATACGATGCCTTTTAGGATACAACCCGTGTATGAGCTTCCCTTGCCTGCACGACGGGAAGTGTCTGGTCGGCAACTACCCCGAGGGTTTTATATGTGAATGTCCTACAGGATTCCAAGGGGTTCATTGTGACTACAGTAAGCCCACCTTATTGACTCGAATCAAAAATGTTCGAAGGAAGATATGGCAATTGAAGAAATCATTGATATCATCTTAAATAAAATATTTATAGGATATCCTATGATTTTGAGGAATATCATTTTTATCTACGAGGTGATATTGATATCTGCACGAGAGAGCGAAGCGAACGAGTGCATATATCAATATCACCGAGTAGATTAAAATGATATTCTGAAAAAAATCATAGGATGTTCTTATTATCCTACACTTACAAGGAGTGTACTAAATGTATAATATCATTGCAAAATGAATTTCATGCCAAATAGAGTCAATTTGGCGGGAAATCAACAAGCGGAGTATATCGTCACAATATCCTCCGCATATTGGGTTTTCCGGAGTATATCGTCACGATATCCTCCGCCCGGAGTATATCGTGTCTGATCGTGACGATATCCTCCGGATATTCATTTTGCCCATAAATATCAACTTTATTTTTTAATGTTATTATACATTTAGTACACTAAGTGTAGGATAATTATAGGATATCCTATGATTTTGAGGAATATCATTTTTATCTACGAGGTGATATTGATATCTGCACGAGAGAGCGAAGCGAACGAGTGCATATATCAATATCACCGAGTAGATTAAAATGATATTCTGAAAAAATCATAGGATGTTCTTATTATCCTACACTTACAAGGAGTGTACTAAATGTATAATATCATTGCAAAATGAATTTCATGCCAAATAGAGTCAATTTGGCGGGAAATCAACAAGCGGAGTATATCGTCACAATATCCTCCGCATATTGGGTTTTCCGGAGTATATCGTCACGATATCCTCCGCCCGGAGTATATCGTCACGATATCCTCCGGATATTCATTTTGCCCATAAATATCAAATTTATTTTTTAATGTTATTATACATTTAGTACACTAAGTGTAGGATAATTCACGATATGATCCCGAATTTTGCTGTTATTTAGGGCTAACGAATCCTAATATAAGTTTTCAGAACCATAAATGTGAATATCCACATCTGATGAAAAATAAACACGTGCATTTTTGAAAATTTGCATTTCTTTTGAATAAATGAGTGAAATAGTTTAAGATAATATGCAAGTGAAAAGGAATATTATGTGACAAAAATACATTTGATAAGTTGCACTCTATCTAAGACTGCCATTTAAAATGATTTTTTCAGATGTAGATTTCTGCAAGGCAAATCCATGTCAAAATGGCGGTATCTGTAAAAGTGGTTTTGATAGCTTCCAGTGCATTTGTAGACCCGGCTATGGTGGAGAGATTTGTAGCACAGGTAGATTCTCTTTCTATTATTCATCTAGCCTACTTATAGAATGCATCAATGTAATTCATATACCAGATTTTCTCTAAATGACACCCTTTCATCATATTGCACATGAGCGTAATGTGGAAAGTACTTTTTTATTTTTAGAGAAATTATCAATTTTATCAATTTCAAAAAACGCCCAGGTCATTTTGAGAAAATCCTGCTGTACACTGGCTTCTTTGACTACTCATCCATACATCAATTAAAGTAATTTGATAGTGAAAAATTACTAGGGTTATATAGGTGGTATACTGTCGTTCAAGACTTTTCTCTCTATGAGCAAGGTTTCGTCCAATAATGCATCTAACATACTGATGGGGATATTTTCACAATACTTTCAATTTTGACGCCATTGAGCTCTCTTGTAGTCATTGACCACTGTGCTGCTGGAGCTTGTTTGAACGGTGGCATGTGCCAGAATGGAGAGGACAGCTTCTTGTGTTCTTGCAAACCTGGTTTTCACGGCCAGCGTTGCGAAAATGGTATGTTTACATCAGAGAAACGATAAAGGGCAACATTCGGAAACAACTCTATAAAGTTAAAATCTGTTTAATATCCTGGATCAACAGAAATGATAATTGATGAATATTATTAAAAGATGTATTTAGAAATCAAATGATCTATCATCACACCGGAATAGCCTGACTACGGTAAAGTCAGATACAGTTCTCACAAATGGCGGACATAACCGTCACTTCAACTGCTTAATCACTTGGTCCTCATTTCATGCTATTTCATTGTCGCTAATTCTGTGCATGCATTAAGCTCTTGTGATAGTGTATCATATGAAATCCCATTTTCGATCAAATTGGGTCGTGAATCGGCACAATATAGCGTCTTCGATATCGTCAATGACAACGGAATCTGAAATTGAGTAATTTAGAAAGACAACGGCATATGGTAATTATAGTGTCCGTTGTCCCGTATCTCATTTTGATCGGTTAGATTGTAGAACATTATTAACTGTACAATGAGTATAAAGACACTTTGATTGATTGTTGTTCCAAAGGAATTTAGTCTAGGTGCTCCATTAAACATACAGTTCATGAAAATCTAATTGAAGCGACGGTTATGTCCACCATTTGTGACAACGGTATCTGACTTTACCGTTGTCAGGCTATTCCGGGGTGATCATGAGCATCCGCTCAAACATATCTAAACACACTGAGTTGGTCTTGCACAAGTATGTTTTTTGTGTATTGTAGGATTCACCTGTCCTGATGAGTATGGTACATTCCCTGACCCTGCAGACTGTTCGCGCTACTTCCATTGCTCAACACAGGTTGCTTACCACAAAAACTGCCCCGCTGGACTCCATTTCAGCCCAAAATTATTGACTTGTGACTGGCCAAATGAAGCTGGTTGCGAATGATCATTATTTATAGGCCTTGTATATATTAATAACAAGAAAAAGAACATATGGAACAAAATTGTGACATCAATGAATACCCATTCATATTTATATACTTAAGCGATGATTCTATAAAATTGTGTGCATTGTTTGGAATATTGAATATTCTGCATGCTTCCTATTTGGCAGGTACCAATAATCTCTGTTTAAATGATCTAGAAAAGTCCCATTCATATATATAGCCTAGCTGCCCAGTCCTAAGTCTGAGGTGACTTCCAGATCCGTATACATACTGCGCTTTCGATTCTACATTTATAGACTGCAGTTAAGAATACTAAATCTGAAGGAATAAAGGCTGTCTTGAATAAAAATAGTGATGTGTATTTTACTCTGAGGAATAGAAGAGAGAGAAAATGTTGGAAACAATCTACATAAATCATGCCAATGTTTTCGTTACAATAATATTTATATTTTGATTGGCAAAATATTGAATATTCTTGAATATTCATTAAAATTCCATTTGGGCACGACGTCAAAATGTGCTTCCTAAATAGATGTCTCCATGAATATTTTCCCGTATTAGAAATCACAAGAAAAATTGCAAAAATAAATGCAATGGTTATTTATAAAAATATATATAATTTAGTACTATATTACACGCTATTTCCTATTGCAGCAACTTATTTCATCCGTTGTAGTAACGTATACTAGTCAACTAATATCCTAAGATACTTAGCAGCAGTTAAGTGTTTTCTCATACCCATTAGACCGTCCCGATGCGATGCTCATCACATATCTTGTTTTTTACCCTATGATGCTCTAACAGTATTTGCTGGATTCGAGGATTTACAACGTGAAGACGCGAGACGGTTGTCATACACGTCTTTTGAATATTATACATTTAGGAATAATTTTGGAGGACCTCCATTACTATGGCATGGGAGGGTACACTTCTTGATACTACTGTGCTAACTCCAACGTCAACATCCGTACTATGGCATGAGAGGGCACACTTCTTGATAGTACTGTGCTGACTGCAACGTCAACATCCGTACTATGGCATGAGAGGGCACACTTCTTGATAGTACTGTGCTGACTCCAAGGTCAACATCCGTACTATGGCATGGGAGGGCACACTTCTTGATAATACTGTGCTAACTCCAACGTCAACATCCGTACTATGGCATGGGAGGGCACATTTCTTGAAAGTACTGTGCTAACTCCAAGGTCAACATCTATTACTATGGCATGGGAGGGCACATTTCTTGAAAGTACTGTGCTAACTCCAAGGTCAACATCTATTACTATGGCATGGGAGGGCACATTTCTTGAAAGTACTGTGCTAACTCCAAGGTCAACATCTATTACTATGGCATGGGAGGGCACATTTCTTGATAGTACTGTGCTAACTCCAAGGTCAACATCTATTACTATGGCATGGGAGGGCACATTTCTTGATAGTACTGTGCTAACTCTAAGGTCAACATCCGTACTATGGCGCGGCATGGGAGATCACACTTCTTGATAGTACTATGCTAACTCCAAGGTCAACATCCGTACTATGGCGCGGCATGGGAGGGCACATTTCTTGATAGTACTATGCGTGCTTACTTCAAGGTCAACATCCATTGTCCAGGCATTTATTTTTGATTGACTACGTCACTATATGTCGGAGGTGGCACATCAGGACCAGTATCAACAGGCGCTGATCCTTCATCTCGTGTTTTTCCGGGATTGTCCGCATTTGTATAGTACTGTCCTGTGTTATACTGCGTGTTATATGCTCCCGTGTTGTTATATCCAGGAGGCATTGTACCCATTGGCTGAAGTCCTGTATCATACATTCCAGGGATAGGGGGAGGATACTGAGCTTGAGTGTCTGTTGGTTGATAGGGTGGATACTGAGCTTGAGTGTCTGTTGGTTGATACTGTGGCGACATGTATGAACCATAGGCTTGGGGTGCCCTGGAAATAATTGAAACACTGGATCAACTGTTAAGAAAAATTAGAATAACTTTAAGGCTTTCATATAGGCTGGGATCGATTGCTTTTTCAATTAAGCTAAAGGATATAGTCGTCGAACAAATATTAATATCTAATGCCTTATCATTAATGTAAATACATTCACCTGAATATGTGCTATTAGTAATGACTATATATGGTACTATGTACTTACATATTATACTGTGGAGGGAATGGTTGTGGCGGTGGAACTGGTGCTACAGGTGGAACTGGTGCTACAGGTGGCTGTTGGGATGGGTCTGTGGATCCACCAACGACTGACACATTTGTAACAGTAGTTTGTGGTTGTTGGAGTTGATGTTCCACAGTTGCATCATTATCAGAAACGTTTCCAAATTTATTTTTGAATACAATGCATGCGATTATACCACCCACTAAAAGGCACAATCCTGTCCCTAGTAATACCGGTCCAGTTATACAAAACGAATTGAAACTATATGAGAAATCAAAATCACAAAATGCTGCTGTAAACACTATGCCCGGGAAACACATGAAAATCCCCAAAAATATTAATAAAACCGCAATCCCTGCTTTGCCTTGAATTCTAATTCTTCCTCCAGACGATCTTCCAAATCCACCACGAAATCTTGAACGACCACCAAAGCGAATACCATGAGATCTGGGGCCAATTCTTCTGCCTCCTCGTCGACCACCACCTCGTCTCTCTCCGCTACCCATTTCACAAACAGTTATGTATAAACAATCCAGTAATTACAAGCCATGTGTATATACACACGAATTATATAGATATCATATATGCCGCACACTCTCTACATTTGATGCTCTTCCATAAAGTATCTACTGTATATTCCAAATCGATTCTTGTGCTATGAAATACGTGTTGTGATGAGTTTTCCATTCGTTGCGACAATATATTTATTCTAGAGCTCTGTTATAGGTCTAGTAGTATACGTAAACCCATTGTGTTTAAAATTTGCATGAGTACCTATGCGATGACGTAGGCTTTTATACACCTATGAACTTGTATGAGAAAATCAATAGACACTGCGATTAAAGCTTGGATTTGTGATTGAATGTATTTGAGCAACTTATGACAACCGTCCAAAACAAACGCTAAGTCAACATGAATGCATAGAATGCCCGTTGAGGCGGTTCTATTAATAGATGGACAGCTTATGAAAAATCCGCCAAAAGCAAAGAAGCAAAAATATCAAATTGATGTATCTATTATTTCATTTTTCTGTTTTGTTATCATTATGATATTCTGCTTAACGTAAAAACGTGTGGCTTAATTTATTATAGCAACAATGGCACACTCTTTATACTTTTGATTGTAAAAACACTGGTTAAAAATTAATCCTTGAGTTATTCACTACTTAAAACATTAGTTGATATTACTTTCCTTACATTCTTGAAACAATTTGTGAATTATTATCGCCGTTCAACCGTTTATCACTTCTGTGTTTTTAGCCTTCTAAAAGTGCACTGAACGAACAAAATTCATACTTTTGTTATCTACATAAAAATAAAACTATATACAGGGTGGGCCAAAAAACGGCACTTTTTTTCAAGACACTACAACTTTTTTATTTTCCAAACTACATACTCCAAATTTTGCAATTATATAGTGCCAAGGGTTCTTAGTAATAATATGATATAATGTAACAAGTCCTTCAACTTGGATTATATTTGATCTAAAAGGGGATCGAGTTCAATTGGTCCGTCACCCTAATTGATGATATATTTTAGTCTAAGTCGCCTTGCTGATATTGCAGTATCAATGAAATGTTAGCTAAGTTTTTTCAACCTGTCTTAATTGCCAGCTTTAGATTAGGTGCCTTCATACAATCTCCTGGAGACCTTCCCATACCCTATACTCACTGGGGTTTGCATCAGGGCTATTAGCTTAGCGATCATCAGGCCGTATCAGTTCAGGAACATTTTGCAAATTATGCTTATTTCTCATGGCACACCACATGTTTAAGTGAGACGCTGGTGACATATTTTATTCAAGTAAAAGTGTACTGTATAATTCATGATCCATTGCTAGATAACAACTTCAAGTTTCATTTGTTATGCAAATTATGATTTAATATCAAAAAATAAAAAAGTTATAGTATTTTGAAAAAATGGCGTTTTTTGGCCCACCCTGTATAAGAGTGTTATTCCTTCAAACTTAATTAATTAAAACACAAAATATACATTTGAAAATCATTGAAAGTGAAACAGGATTGTACTACGAAAAGGATAATGTTTGCCGAAACTCGAGCCAAACGTTTTGGGTAACACTCGTGCACCAAATATCTTCTGACCAATCTGTTCTGGTATCATTGAATTTTCTTCATTGGCACAGAAAAGTAATTGGTATTTTTTAGTCAATACTTAATAATGACTGACAAAAGAGTTTTGACTTCAATTATTTACTTTAGCTTAGGTTGATAGCTATCAAAATTATGTCCTGATACTATAAGCCGAGACCAAGGTTTCATATTTTGCCCCTTTCTGTCCGTTTATCTTGCAGCATTTTTAAATCTCAATATCGCCGATGCATTTCGACGTCAGTACACAAAAATATCGATCGCTCTTTGACCGAACGAAAACCGAGTAGATTTCCTTAAAGTAAGAAGTCAATCCTTGTATACGTACTGTGATGATACATTTTATGTAGGTTTAAAAATGACAACCAATAGAGTTTTTACATCACTATCACAGGCTCGGTGGTAAGTGGTCTGCGGTTGGTGATCAGCGATTGGTGTTCGGCGTCGCGTCTGTAACAAATGGTAGGTTGCGACATTTTTGCATGCTTTGTTTTTTATTTTATTGGTGATTTGCGTATCATATTCAAGCACTTAACCTTCAAATACCTTCATATTTTATGTGACTATTAAGAGAGCATATCAATTGCACATTGGCGTTTTTATCTTACTTTTATATAAGGTTTCGCCAAATAAATGTCAATAAAATTCAAAATATGAAACTGAGACTATGAGTTATCTAATCAACATTCAAAGTTCACAAAACACGTGTCATGGCAGACAGATATTAATTACGAAGTTACGAACTCTAAACCAGGGAAAGATATGAGAAGTAAAAACACCAGACCACCAGATATATATAACGATATCATAATGAAGAAATTAAAATCTTTAATAATCATGATTAGGAAAATTCGTTTATAGCACCACTTTGCTCACAACTTCATGGGCGTAGCCGGAGGCGAGGGGGGGGGGGTGCGATGGGTGCCACCACCCCAAAAGAAAAAAGCAATTTTGCATTTGCTGAAAAAACAAATTAACAAATTAAAATTTGAAATGCTTAAAATGTAGGTCATATACAATGTAAATTTTCAAATTTTTGGGGCTCGCTTCGCTCGCAGTGATGCAAATCAAAAGGCGCACCCCTCTGACAATTACTGGCTACGCCCCTGCAAGTTGTTAACACGGATGAACCACCACCACATATCACGAGATATTTTATTTTTCATTTTGCATGACTTAAAGCTGCTTCAAATATGCATGGATATTAAACATCTCGTGTTTTATAACGATTACATTGACCGTATAATCAAATAAACAATTAACTACACACTGGTAAGGAATGCAGAAGGAGCAAGACTATTATTTTGTTTATACATATCTATGTTTTATCAAGTATCAAATACAAGGAATTCTTGGGAGTCTGGCTTTATGATGATCTTGCATCAAGTTCCTTCTCTTTAATTAGTGGTACCATCTCAAAACCTTGAGGTTATGATATGCAGAAGGGTTTAATGTCTATTATGTCAGCTTTCGGATACACATGTCACTCAAGTCTACACAAAAAAATATTCACACATAGCTAGGCAAGGTGTGTCCGATTCCACCCAATCCGAACATAGTATTTCATAGAACTGCAGTGCATTATATCACCAATCATCGCATCCAAAGTCATTCCTTATCTGGTTGTCAAGGTGACAACTTGTCTCTACAGATTGAAATTAATGCTTTGCCAACTTGACCCTCGCAAAAGGGTTCATTTAATATTTGTTCTTTTAGTGATTTTGTATCTTTTAAGTGATATATTAGAAAATATTTTGAAATGTGTGTGAAGAATCTAAGCCCAAGACTGAATGCATCGTGGAATGACCATTTCTTCAGGCGTTGTTTCCTTAATTAATTTTGGAAAGCAACACCTTCAAAAATGGCCATTCCAAATTGCACCAGTCCAGGCCTTAAATCCTTAAATATAGCTAATTTCAGACACAACTATCGAATATCCGATTTTTTTCAAGTAGAAGAGGAATTAAGCCATCTTGGCAAAATCTTTCAACAGAATAGATACACAGCGTTCACTATGCAGGGGCGGATCTGAGGGGAATTTCTGGGTCGCATTGAAATTACAAAGTCCCAATTTTGAAAAGGAGTAGGGAGAGTATCGCAACAGATTTTGGATGTTCATATGTTGGATTTTGGCTATATTCTGAGTATTTAAACAGATTCATATGTAAAACCAATGCATTACCTCCAGGAAAAGCACTCCTAGAGATGATAATATTTTCGACTTTGAGACAGGGAAGATGCAAACAACCCACCCACATGTTTTTTCTGAAATGTTTTCCTGATTTTCAACCCCTTCCACCCATACTTTTTTAATTTTTCTTGCATCAATATGTTATGTTTTGACATACCGTTAACCCCTTCAAAGGAATAAGTGATTCCTCTTAGATAAAGTGGAAAACAATATTTCCCATGTTATTTTCCCAAAACGCAACATATTGATGCAACAAAATCTTTTGGGCATTAACATTATTTTTGGCCCATACCAAAGCCATATGCGCCACAGCTATGAGCATTAGTAGATGTACGATGAGTATTAATCATTTTACATTTCTTGTCACCATAAAACTACTCCCGAACAATACGTGTAGTTACTTATTCATCGCTTTAAAGGTAGTGATAAAACACATACACCACTAAATCTGTACGTAAATAGTATACTATACGATCAGACATATAGACTAATAGTAGAATAGTAAACTCAGGTATTTTTATATGCAATATCTTTTGACCTTAACATGTTAAAGGATCCTTAATATTTATGACCTCTAAGGAATGCTGGACATACTCTTATCATTAGAATGTATTATTCTCAATTTCTTCACCTCCTATCTAAAAGATTACTAACCTACCGGGCCAACGCGATGAGACGTTTTTAAACACCTAGCACCACTTCAAATAATGCACAAATGGGAGCAGCGTAACATTGCCAAGAACTTTGTGAGGAAAGTGCCAGGCGATTTATCAAGCACACTTGAATGAAACAGAGGTATATGCGGTAGGAGTAGCCAGGTCTGTCTACCCATCTTTGGAAAAAGAGAACAATAATGTCTGGAAGTAAGGTTAAGATCTGGAAGCAAGACCCCAGCGTCAAAGCACTTGGAATTAGAACTGAATTTATAGATGGAAAGGTATGTATTGGTCTATTTATAGCCCGACGTCAAGTTTGTTTCTTAAAGTTGATTAGACGATTGTAATTAAAGGCAGAACGCAGAGTGCAAACTCTTGAAAACATATTTTTCAAAAATCATTAAGCATTCTAAGTAAAATATTGGGACAAATAAACAAATCGGTATATGTTAATGGAATCTCATTGGTTCCAGCGTTTCCAGATTACAACATGTAAAGTAATAATAATATAAGGTATAAGAGCTTATTGCTTGACATAAATGTATAAATGATGTAAATTACTACCATTTTGTAAAAAAACAAAAAACTTCGATTGAAATTTTTATACACTTTATTAACATGTAATTACGTTAAAATGCTCGATGAATAATGGGAAAATAAAGATATAATAATTATAGACAACAGGCATCACAGGGAATGATGACAGTGAAGAAATTTTAGAATTGTGAGAATTTCTAAACATAAACATATTGTACATTCGGGCAGTCATTATTTCCAAACTTCCTTCCGAAGCATCTATGTATCAGACCTATAGGAAAGGAGGCATGTCTATTTAGAACATATTGATACATTTTGATTATGTCAGTAAACATGGAACTTTATTTGTGATGTGAAAGCTACCTCCAATATCTCTCATTCCTCGCTAAAAAGAAAGAAAAACAAAGTTGTCACATCTTACATTACATCATTAATATATAAGTGAAATTTTAAACTATTTTAGAATCATGTCTTTAAAATCTTGAACATGTGACACATCTATAATGGACATTGTACATTTTGCTCTTTTTGTACAGGTATCAGATGGTCCACGCGACAAAAAGATTACAATCGCAAGCAGGACAAAATGGTACCCGATGGGTGGTGGAAAGGTGTTCAAAATTGAAGGTTGGTCCATTGTTTACTCTTGTCCGCGTGTGACAATATTTTTACGTTTTTAAATTGTATTAGTTGTATCCTATTTTACAGATACTAGAAAATAGAATGTTACCATGAAGCTGCAATGTATACGTAAACTATTAGTTATCGTTTTTTAGACTTGGAAGCTAAGGTTGAGTAAACAGTTGTGAAGTTACGATGTTCTCCTAATATTATTAACTAAAGCATTCGCTTGCTATTTTTCAAGTGGATAAACTCTAACCTGTTAATGGACTGGTTGTCTAAATGGAATGCCATTTATGTGTTACAGGCATACCCAGAATTCCAAGAGACCCAAATGGCGACTTCCTGTTGAACCTTGAAAGGGATGCTGTTAACTTTGATGCGGTCCATACCTATTCGATTGTCCGCCTTGTTGTGACTATGTATGAACGTGCTTTGAATCGATTGAATATCACAGATAATTTCAAATGGCAGTGGGGAGACCAACCCATACGAGTTCACCCTCACGCTGGTAACTGGCAAAACGCGTTTTATAAGCGCGAGTGGAAGGCTCTCTGCTTTTTCTACACGGCTCCAGTAAGAGGACAAGGGGACATGGTCTACAGCTGCAGATCTCTTGATGTGGTGGCTCACGAAACTGGCCATGCGATTCTAGATAGCTTAAAGCCACAGTGGTTGCATACCACCAGATCTGAAAACGGCGCCCTGCATGAGGCATTCGGGGATTTGACGGCGATGTTCTTACTGTTAAGCCGAATGGATACATGCGCTGCAATCATCGCAGAATCCAAAGGGGATCTTCATCAGCGCTTCTTCTTCAATCTAATCGCAGAGGAGTTCGGTGTTGCTCTAGGGCGCCAGTATGGCCTTCGTAACGCTGATAACGACTTGACCATGTCGCAAGCTGGAAGAGAGTACCATAGGCTGTCAAGGGTACTGACAGGGGCAGTCTATCATATCTTAGCAGACATCTTTGCCTTATATAGGAAACAAGATAAGTATGACCAAACGGAAAGCTTGTATCGGGTCGGTAAGCACATCATTTCGCTTGTCATTCTCTCTTATACCAAAGCCCCGGATAGTGATACTGCTGCTTTCAAGGACGTCGCAGAAAACATGATACAATACGAAACAAAACCAGCATGGAAGACGGTCATTCGAAAGCACTTTGAAGACCGCGAGGTTCTTGGACAGAACGCCCGGGATTTCAATGAAATTTCTGCCCGTGGTGTTGCTACATCTGCATCTGAATTTACTCCATGCTGTGCTGCTAGCGGAACACTTCCAACGACGTTACTCATGGATAAGAAAGACAAGCCTGCGAAACAAGCTAAACCAACTGCTGGAGAAGATGACCAAGCATCGAGTGGTGATGAAGATTAAATGAAAAATGCGAAGTATGAATTATAAGACCAAAGCTCTCAGCATTAATCGGAATTTCGATGGACATCCATATTATACATACGAGGATTATTTGAGACTGAATTCATGAGGTCTTTCAGTGCAGCAAGGGCACATATCTAGTCATAGAATATGTCATACCATATATCAATAACGATAATATATATAGTGAGTGCTTGTACTTGGCATGAAATAATATAAAAGACAAATCCACTAAATCATGCAATGCCATTGTTTATGGTGTCACTCTTGAAGTTTTAACGCAGAAAAAATAGGATGAACAATTATTAAGTTCGATTTTGTTACTGCCTGGAAAGTGTGGCATCATAAATCTAGTCAATATACAGTATATATAAGTTTCACTGGTTCACCAAAAGAGGCCAGGATTTATTGGAAAGGTATATTCTTAATGTGATAAAATATATGGCTATAAAATATTTATGAAATTGTTCAATATACTTTAGGTTTAGCAATTGTACATTTGAGTGTTTTGCTTTTACTAGAAACCGATATATACGTTGTTAAGTGTCGCATATTTTACAAATAACAGACAATGTGTTTGCAACCAAGACTCCTTTTAACTGATATTGCATATTTGCTTTGTATCATATCATTAATGAGGATATAAGAGACCAACCAAGATAAAAGTCAAGCATTGGCATTTTGTCTTGAGCCCAAAACTGACGTTATGGCACAGAACTAAAAATAGCCATTTTGCTCTAAAATAATTGCAAATCATATAGAAATGACAAGTACAGCTTATGAAATGTGTTTCCCGAAATGTTCATGGAAAAGACTTGGAAAAGTTCGAAAGAGCAAAAGATGGGACCATGTAAAATACATTCAACGATATTTATGATAGTGCACCATTATCGGTTCCCACGCTTAATCACTACGTTCTACGAGGTCCGAATCTTAATGAAGCAAGATGACAGCGCACAGGTACCACATCTTTAGATATCCTGATATTGGGTTCAGTAAAAAGTGATATTTTAATGTAACTTAAAGATACATGGCTCATATTACACATTTTCAAACTGTTTTCAGAAATGCATGCATTTATAAAGTATATTTAGACATCAGCACGTAACAACATGTATAATGCATTTAGTAGTATTGGTGTAATACAATAGCGAATCCCTAAACTTCATGTTAACAGTTCATTGATTTCTACAGGTAGGTAGAACATGAGCGTGTTATCAAATATACAATTAATTGACACAAAAGCAGTTGTAGCCGAATCGATAGGATACAGTATTAGCACATAGTCAGTTTATAGTGCTTTTGGAAACCAGTGAAGCGACGCCCAGGGTTATGGGCCATCAGTCTAGTAAACGACTCGTCGAGTCTCAATGTAATAGACAAAAATGCACCATAGAGGAAGACCCTGATCATATCGAACTGGAAGTCATTGAGGAACTAATTGATAAAAATGAGGCTCTTGGTCCCAGCGTTTCATTTAAGGAACCCATGGATGATCACCTCAAACCACTGCGCAATTCTCCGATACATTATGCAGATAGTGTACCAAGCACATCGCAAGATGAATGCTGCTCGATGGTGACATTCGACGCCAAATGTCCCGACACAAAAGCAAGTGTGATGGAACCAAAATCCAAAGCGCCAGAAAAATGTCCAAGTCCGTCCACCAACCAGAAGTTGGACACAGCTGTTGAAAAGGAACTCCATGACAAGTTCAAGAATATTCCAATGTTGGGATGTGATAAGTATCCAGATATCAATTTAAGAGGAAGGGAAGTCATATTGGCCATTTGCTCATTTTCGTTTTTCTGTCTCAGTATATCGCTCATAGTAGTCTTAACAGACCCGAATCGACCAGCTTTAAGTGACCCAGTAGAAACGACATGTATGCCCACAACCGTGTACGTCAATTCTAGTACTTGCTCTTTGGCAAATTTGTGTTCATCCAGGAATTGTGCCCTGGCGTCTCTAGGCATACTACGAGGCATGGACCTAACAGTTTCCCCATGCGAATCACCAATGAGATACATTTGCGGCAACATGAATACTGACCCATCTAATCAATTCATTGAAATAACTACTCATGGGGAACAAGAGTTTCTAATTCAAAAACAGTTTCAAAACCTCCATGATATACTAAGTAATACGCACACAGTTAACGCTGACGAGGGTACTGTTGGCGACAAAATTGTTGTCACGTCGTTTGAAAGTAAGATCAGACATTTCTATAATAGCTGCTTAGACGTTTTATCGCGGAAGGACGAGTTGAAGTTCTTGCAGAACATAGTCCAAGAGATGGGTGGATGGATAACTTCAGATACAGGTATGTTCTCCTATATACATGTATAATATCAAATAGCACAATGACGAATCACTCTAATTCAAAAATACCTTTCTACCATATCATTTATTCATCGTTAATATTATACGTTTGGTCCCCTGGGGATTGCTCATTCTATACCAACGGACTCCTTTGTTTTTACCTTTGTTTCGGATCGCTCCCCGATGTGAATTATTAATATGTTTTTGATGCTACTAGAGTTGTAATTTTCCAGTATTGAATAGACTCCATCGCACTCTATCGATAAATAAGTATCACAATTGATGAATGAGTCATTCTCATGCCAAATCTGACTATACACTTCCCATTACAAGTTTGGCAACCCATTACGTGTGAAACCTTTTATATGATTGATTTTTTCAAGGAATCGATCAATCATTTGCCAGACACGTTGTCTACAGAATTATTTTACGAATGTCGAAATAAAAACATTCTATGTCATTCAATTTGCAGCAAACCTACCATTTCATATTGACCTGTATATAAGAAAAAGCGATTCGCAAAGGTCATGACTTTCCAACGTGTCATTGATAAGTAATTTTACAGAGACAAACGACATGAAGTTTCTTTATCATTTTATTTCCGAAAACAGAAAATTATTTACACGTTTTGAACATTTGAGAAGACAGATTTCAATACGTAGTCATTAGTTGATATGTGAATGCGCCAAACTAACGAAATCGATGTGAGTGCAACTCAAATAAATATCAAATGGTTATGTATTGTTGCATGTCATATCAATAGTTTTTCGACGCAATGAGACAGACATTTAATTGAGTATTTGGTTTCTAGTAATTTCTAATATTTTTGGTTTCTAGTACTTTCTCAAGAAGAGTTTGAGTCCAGATTTGACAGTGCTCTCAGAACTTCGCTGACTACGTATGCCGTAGACGTATTGTTTCACCTCAGCAAAATCGAACAAAGAGGTCGAAGCAAAACGTTGTTGGTAGGTGACCACTACGTGCATGGCCATATTCACTGGTGATCCACACGATTACGCTGGTTACCAAAACGGTTCGTTTTGGTAACAAAATGTCGGAACATCCGGAAGGTACGATTTTTCTCGTTTCCTTATTTACACGTTGTAGGCAGAATTCCCACGACATTTTTTAACACAAACGTGTATCAGTATCATATGTTTAAGAAAGTGTACATATTTGCGAACAAATAGTTCAGAAGACAACAGAATCGTCGATTTACTTCCTCACTTAAGTCACATAAACGGTTTGGGTTAAAAGTGCAGATCTTAACTGTTTTTCGAAAAACCGTTTATGTAACTTAAGTGAGGAAGTAAATCGACGATTCTGTTGTCCTCTGAGCTATTTTTTCGCAAACATGTACATTTTCTAAAACATATGATACTGATGCACGTTGTGAGAAAAACGTCGTGGGGATTCTGCCTACAACGCGTGAAAGGAAAGGAAAAAAGAAAAATCGTGCCTTCGACGTTCCGGCATTTTGTTACCAAAACGGTTCGTTTTGGTAACCAGCGTAATCGAGTGGATCACCAGTGATATTCCTAATTCACATTTCATGTGACCTTTGCTTATGCTGTATTACCCTTTACATTCGTTCGACATAGCCTCTCAAAAGAGAGCTTCGTCTGGTTGATTTTTACTTGACTGCGCGGAGGGTAATGCAATTTCTTGGCAAATGTACTGAAATACTTAAAATATTTTAAAGTATGTACCCAATGCATATAACCTTTCTGTATCTTGTTCAAGATCGGATCAAATAACAGTCCCACCGTCAAATTGGTTGTCGAAAACAATTATACAATTTGCTTACAAAGTGTACATACTTATTACGTATACATTGTATTTCAGATTTCGCCTCCCGAGTACGTCGATACATTTGATAACTTGGCGAATCTGCTCTCCTTAGACCCCGAAGACATCGATGAGAAGGCAAAGCAGATGAAGAGCAATATGGTAAGCCGAACGGTGAAAGAAACGCATTAGAAAAAGCTTATGACTTATATACTTTAAAAAGTGTCCAATCGTCCTCTACAACGCTTGTTGAGTTCCTTTTTTAAATATAATGTCTTGAATATGTAATAAGCAGTACGGTGCTTACAAGAAAAACGAAAGTTGAGGTCTTCGAGAGGGGATGGGGGGGGAAGTATTTTGCGGTCAATTCAAAAGAGAATTACAAAACACAGAGATATTTAAGAACAAAGTACCCAGTCATAAGGAAAACAAACCCATAATATCCCAAACTATGATCCAACACAAAACAATGTCTTGCAAGTCCATAATACGAGTGTCGTGTCAACATCCATAGCAAAAGTACCACCACCTTACCACAATTTATAGGATTAACATTATAAAGAATAAAATCAACCACAATACTACTTATAAATGTAACTAAATCAATTTGATATCGTATCCTCTTTTTTCAGCGTGGCATTCCTTCTGGAAATGATGACATTGAATATATATTCGTTTCTACAATTCGTGCATTGTTTCCGAATGTAAGTAAGCCTCAGTCATATTTGATCTACGGCGGCCATAGGGGGCCGTAGCTTCGTAAAATCGATATTAGAAGATTACGTCGTCCTTACTGCTTATCCCTTAATGTCATGCTGCATATTTCCTCTCCATTTTAGCAAACTTTGGCCGCCGTACGCTTGCCGTAGATCAAATGCGACTGAGGCATTAATAACAAAGAAAGAAATATTTTACAAAATAACAATTATTTCTAACACGATTAACATGTAAACCATTTTCAAACAAAAGTGATAGTGTCACGGGGTACCATCGAATAATTTTGGCAACGTACCGGAGAACGACATTTTACTAAGAAATGGCAATAATTTAGCACAATATATTTTTTAACTAGAGTTCTATTTTGATTTTGACAAAAGTAAGTATTCCATGCAATAACTATTTCATTCATGAGTTTGTAGGAATTCTGTAGGAACCCAGTTCTGATCAAGTACGAAGTTATTGAAATCGGCGCAGACGGACTTTACTCCGAAAGATGGTTTTTCGATTATAACTTTTCACTACATTTAAGTATAGACTTTTGAAAAAAGTACAGAATAGTCCTTATACTTTTGAATAATTCTGTTATTTCTGATTCACACGACTCTGATTTGTTTAATTAAAAAAAAGTTTTAAAAATATTACTTAGGAACGTAACCGGAGCTGGGAACGTAACCGGAGCAGATCAGTTGAATTATTTCATCAAAAAAATTAAAATATATGATTTAAAGCACATATACTAATTTAAAAACATACGGGATTGTTCGAATGCGTATTTATTAATATATATGCTTTAAATCATATATTTTAATTCAACTGATCTGCTCCGGTTACGTTCCCAGCTCCGGTTACGTTCCTAAGTAATGTTTTTAAAACTTTTTTTTGATTAAACAAATCAGAGTCGTGTGAATCAGAAATAACAGAATTATTCAATAGTATAAGGACTATTCTGTACTTTTTTCAAAAGTCTATACTTAAATGTTGTAAAAAGTTATAATCGAAAAACCATCTTTCGGAGTAAAGTCCGACTGCGCCGATTTCAATAACTTCGTACTTGATCAGAACTGGGTTCCAACAGAATTCCTACAAACTCATGAATGAAATAGCCATTGCATGGAATACTTACTTTTGTCAAAATCAAAGTAGAACTGTAGTTAAAAAATATATTGTGCTAAAGTATTGCCATTTCTTAGTAAAATGTCGTTCTCTGGTACGTTGCCAAAATTATTCGATGGTACCCCGTGAGTGTAGACACAAAAAATACTCATCTCATTTTCAATCATGAATTTTCCAGAAACATTTATTGATGTTCAACCGAGAGAAAAAGAATCAAGATTCCTCAATACACTCAAACGTTCATATACCTGGTTTAACCGCATTTAATTTGTTATATTACAAGTGTAATTCAAGACAATAATATTTTCCAAAAATGCACTTTGACCTTCCATGTAAAACTTTAAAATTGTATCTTCAGGTAAATTGGACTTCTTTGTTTAATGACTTTGGCTTTCTGCTCGAAGATGACAATTATGTTGCAGTCCAAAACATAGAACTGTTCACAAGACTCTCTCAACTGTACAATGACTCCAGAAGGTATCGCGAATTTGTATTTATAAAACGTCCCCATGCCCATGTGATTATAAATAGTTTCTACTCCAAAATTTAGAAAAACATTAAAAGACAACCCGAACTACTTTTCAGTAATCGCCAATCAATGTTTTCAGGGATACCGACCTACTATTCAGTAAACGCCAATGAATTTTTTCAGGGATTTGTACAATTTTATGATATGGACTGTGATACAAGAGTATGTATGGGATACGATCAATTATTACACCATGATTGATTTTCTACAGAGCGACACGCACGTTGACCTCAATGTAAAATGTCTGGTCACCGTTAACCAGTACCTCCACCTTGGAGCAAATGCACTCTACCAACTACATTTTCAAAATTATGAGGGGCAACAAAAAATGGTTAGTACATCGGAGACATACGAGTAACTAGGCCTATTTGAATCAGAAATTGTTAAATTCATACATATTTTCCTTTGATTTACACATACAACCAACATGTTTTAGTTAAACACTTTGGTCGAGGCGCTCAAATATGCTGCGCTGAACCAAATCGAAGGTCGTAGTTGGATGGACGAACAGACAAAGACGTGCCTAAAAGAAAGGGTACAGATGTTACACTCAGATTTCAAATATTAATTTGATTAACACTCGTTGGCCAAATTCGGATTTTTCATGGCAAATAATTACTTTTTCAAAGACGCGTTTCTCATATCTAAGGCTCAGAAGTATTCACGTCTTCTCATGTCTCTTTTCTACATGAGCGTCGAACGATCTCCTGCGAACTTTAAGATGCTGTCGCATTCTTATAATATACCACATTCTTGTGTTCCACCCCCTTGATATATTATAGTATTTTCTTGTAGTTGAATGGTTTGAAGGTAAACTTTGGCATTGCAGACATATCGGACATGAACGAATATCATCAGAAGGTAGAGTTATGAGCGTGTATTTAACGATTGTATTAGACATTGTTTTCAAGGAATTATTTGATTGGTATTGTGGATTTATGTGGTGGAACTCTTGAATCTGGTTACGGAAGAACGGGCTCGTTTATGTAACAAAATGGTGAAGCCTCGAGGGTAAGATTTTTCTTTTTCATGATTTCACAAGTTGTAGGCAGAAATATTCACGACCTTTATGACTCAATCGTGTGTCGTCATCATATGTATTTCAGAAAATCTAAGCGTTTGCGAAAGAATATTTCGTGAGACGCCAGAATGATCAAAATAATTCCTCGTTATTGTTACGAAAATGGAACGGTTAAGGAATTATATCGATGATTCTGACGTTTCGTTCGTTCCGTTTTTCTTTTACACATGATGCTGACACACCACGTGTCTGCCTAAAAGGTCGTAACGATTTTGACTACAGCTCGTGAAATCAAGGAAAAAATCGTACCTCTTAGTCTGATCCATTTTGTTACTGGAACGTATCCGTGTTCGTAAACAGTTTGAAGAGTTCCACCACAGTGTTTATTGTTGAAATTATGATATAAGCTTACGAGTATGTACATGTACTTGCAACTCATATACTACTTACTAGTATTTGAGTATCTTTTTTATTACCAGCTTGGATTGAATTCGTCGTTGAGTTATATCGAACAACTGCTGTTAGTGAGACGATTTGCATTATTCAGTTCTGTCAGGAAAACATCAAGCAGTGTGCGAGAGCGTGATCACAGGTAAGATATAATATTTATTTACATACCTATAGTTAGTCCCGTGTGGTACGTGCAGTTCTTTGAAGATTTTAGAGACATTTATGAGAACTAATGGATGAGCCCTCGTATGTTATAAGACTTTAATGATATCTAGAATGAATCGAAGAATAAATACTGCCAATTCAAATAGAAAGATGTCTCTCCAGTAATTGTTTGCCATGTCCAAGTCCAAAAACAATTATTAATGATATCCAGAACATATAATAAATAGTTTTCGTAATATCGAAATGACATGGAAGGATATATCTGAACTACATAAATAACGTCAAAGGATTGGATCGAACATACATGTAGCACATGTATTCTAAACTATGTTTAAATCCTTTCAGACATGGGAGTCCAAACACCGCCCTGTTGTCATTTGCTCCATCATACGACCCTTCATCGAATTCAATAGGTACAGTTGCATTAATATTATTTACATAACTTGATTAGTCAATAAAAGTGTACTATAATCTCGTAATTATGTCATTATATTTATTATTCTATTGATCCTGCTTTTGTACTATAAATGGCCTGAAATAATTGCTGTATGTAATGGGCTGAAGCCATATTTCATCATATTTCATTATTAATAACTTCATATGACTTTAATAATACGAGTGTTTTTGTAATTATAGACATACCACCAAGTGCAATTGTTTGGGCCGGGGATTTAACAAGAGTTCCAATGTGAGTTTTGAACCGTTAAACATGCACAGCATGCACTCGCTGATCGTATCAAAACTGATGTATTTTTATCAAGTTATAGTTCTTATGAGGCACACTCTCCATCTACAGTTTGGCAGCCTTTAATCACATTGGATAGATTGCCCATAAACCCTTTGCAGACGGACTCTGTGAGAAATATTGGGTGCGGCATGAATGAGCGGATGCTGCGGATTTAACGGTCATTTTTGAATTTGTGATATTTCTGAAACTAGGCCATTTTGGGTCTTTGAATATTTCCATATGTGTGGAGTTGACACCTAATATCAATAAAATTGTAAAAATATTGATGTATTTCATTATATAGCGACGCAGTATGCATAAACCTTTCCCAGGTCAATCTATTTTGAAATTGTCGTTTTTATACAGCGTCTCCAGTATTCATAAAAATGGTGTTCAAGATGTTACGCGGTAAACACGATACAAATATATGTCATATTCTGCAACGAATATGGCATATTCACTTGCGGTGTATGACTGATTTACCTGCGGTATATGACATACTCATTAACCAATGAGAACGTGATACGGAAGTACGCAATTGTCAATTGCATCGAATGGGTAACGGGTAAAAGTTTATAAATTATCATAATGATTACTGAATCAACAGTACAGCTGCATTGAATATATCAACTAATGCAGAAGTATCACTTGGCAGTATCACGTAATACACTTATTCAATAAATCAAGGATTTATATATTAGTACTCGAGGCACTAAAAATATTGGTAATCCAGTATAGTTTTACATTTAGAGTCGATTTTCGCAACCAATCAAATTAAGGCTCTCTGTATCATGTTTTCACCTGCGTTTTCATCTAGTGTATGTGCCATATTCTGCAAATGAGTATGACATATTCAGCAGGTGAGAATCGAGTATTCATTAAAATCAATGTATCACATATTCACTGCGGAATATGCCATACTCACCTGCGGGATATGCCATATACCGCAGGTGAGTATGGCATATTCACCTGTATCACAAATACCGCGCAACCATGAATATATGCCATATTCTGCGTAACACAAGGTACACTATCAATACAAATTATTTCTGCATCTTGGAAGCCAGACAGTTTCTGTTTGATCTTCAATCCGAAATGTTCATTAGATATGAGCCCCCACTAAATATATTTGGTGCGGAAAAGCTCAATAAACATAAAAAAATATCCTTTGGTGACATTGTGACAGTTTGTGTTGTGAGAGTACTTGAACCACGTCAACTGCTTCACCAAACTGTCACGCTGTATAAAAACGACAAGATATAGGCCTGTGAAAGGTTTAATGCATACTGCGTCGCTACAGAATGAATTACATCACTATTTTCACCCAATATTTCTCACAAGCTCCGTCTGCATAGGGTGTACTAGGTCGGAAATTCATGATGTAACTTTTTATAATCAACCAACTTGAACAACGTCGTACAATGGTTGTTTGATCATTGTTTGAGATGTCGTTTGTGCTGTACATTTTTTCCTGTTCAAAACGTCGATTTATCTCTAAAAATTCATGACTTTAACTGGTATATAATTTGACTATCACACATTTATACAGATCCTAAAGGTACATTTCAAGAAATAATTGCCTTCCATTATTTTCTATATTGCTAGTAGAAAAACAGAAAGATGTGATGAGTACCAGAATGCCAAAGTTGAACGATACCATAACTCTCGACTTAATAGTATGCCAATATAATTTCCATATTGCCGCATGATATGAAGTGGAGTAATATCACTAATGAAAATATACTTTATCAATCAAACCCATAGTCAAATTGTAATGGTGTACATTTCCGTTTAGATCTGCATTGTACAGCAATTTAGGCTATCTTATAGCAATTGCTCTGGCTGAGACAATTACTGACGATAGCAACCATCAAATTGCAATCACAAAATCCTCCAAGTGTTGGAGTGAAAATACTTTGGCGAGTTATATGAGAAAGCAAGAATGCTTCAAGAAGCATGTTCTACTTGATGCATCCGATGATGAATTCAAAATGTTGCTTACTGATCTACAAGCATTGCAAATTGTTTTAAAGGTGAGGCCAAACCTGAAGGTATAGCTTTGCAGTAGTCTTGCTTCGAGCCTTTGTGACCCCTCCCCCACTACAAGAGAAGGTGTCAGAAGAAGTAGAAAACTCAAGTAGAGGGGGGGGTCACAGGGTCTTGCAGCTAGACTGCATTTGCAGTCGTCTATTTCCATTTAACCTCTTTAATACAATACCCTTTTCATATTTCGCCATTTAGTGAACATTTCTGTGACCTATATATCTTTCGCTCTGGGCATTCAAGATGGTAAATTAGTTTACTCTGCTATTAATTTCTCAATTCCATCAATTTACGTTCATCTTTTACAAGACACATTCGCACGAAGAATTTATTAATATTACAGGCGATGAATGATGCAAATAGCGAAAATAGAAAACTAATAGGACTCCATGATCTAATTAACGAAGACGTGGTAACAATAGGAAGCCTGCAGGTAAAGAACGATATGCATTTTATATGAGTTTTTTGGTTTAGTATAGAATATCTCACAATTGTTTCATTTGAAAGTTTTGACGAGGAAAATGTGAAATTAAAATTTGTGCCCTAAAAGGTAAACATTAAAATCTATATCTTATTTCTTCAGGCAAGATGCAAGCTTCACCGAGTCCAATCTATGCACGATACTCAGTGGTAAGACAAGAATTAATGTTCTTACACCCCCCTCTCAAAAAATTGGCAACTGGTAGTCCCATTAACAAAACTTGTTAGAGTCTGTTTATGGCAATTATTTAAAGATTAAAACAAATTATTCTTAATGAATGTTTGAAACTGACATATAATATAATAGATATTTAAATTACTATATGATGACAATTAATCATCTAATTATTCTTTATATGGAATATTATTTTTTGTGACACTTCAAATTGCCGTAAAAGCAAAACCCAGGGTGTTAATCTGTAGCTCAGCATATGAAAAAGATATAACTGACTGTATGATTGGTTCTTTTACAGCTAATTGGATTTTATCGTTGCTACTAAACCAGACACGATTGGATCACCAATTTCACACTAAATAACACATATACTCAGATGATATATACACAGATTCATGAAAGGCTATGGCCAAACTTATGAAGGGGTCGTCCTTAAAAGTGTTATCATATCATGAAACAATATTTATAATTATGTTTATCTATTCCAGGATAGCGCCCTACTTGGCTGGGTTACTCCCTCAAGATAGTAAATTTTCCTGTCCGAGTGCACCACCATTCAAATGTGACTTATAAGACACTATGATGCTATATACATATTTCATATATCCGACATTTGGTAATGGAGACTATGATGGTAATGATCTACTGTTCAAAATGACATTTTATCTGAGACTTGAAATCTAAGATGTATACCACGTTGATTTCACTGCCTTTAATCAACGCATACAACCAGGTGTCTGATATAGGATAATATTGGAGTTGTCTACAGAAAATGCAACAACGTTCGCTTTTATTATTCCTTTAAACTTTGAGATATTAATTGAGGGATATCAAACTTCATTGAAAATGTTTTCGAAGAAAAAATGCACCCTTCTGTGCATGCCTTCGCAAGATGCTTTGATATCAACCTTAAGCTGAGTAGGTGAAATTACGATTGAAGTAATGATTAAAGAGAGTCCGTTCGCCTGATGACTGCGAGACACGTAATATACTAGTCTTACAACAACCCTATGGTGTGATTCACAGCTTTGAATGTATTCTGATAGATGTGCTTAATTATACTTGCATCACCGTTGAACTATATCAACGAAGCAGAGTCTCTCAACGTCACGGATATTGTCACATATGTGACAGTGAGATAACCTTATGTAATGTTAGACAAAGAACGGGAAGTGTTAACTATACGTTCTGTCTGTGTGATATGTAATAAAGATAATTCTTTTTAGATAAATGTATCAGACAGTTAAGTCTTAAATGTCTTGTGTGTATTATAAAATGTCATGTTATCTAAGTAATCATATTCATTCACCTGTGTACTGTTCTAATATCTCAAGGTAATAGCATAAGTTTGTAGCTGTAGAGGAGCGTTGGGATTTGAAAAGGGTGTTGTGAGGCAAAAATTCTGTCGATGTATCATCTTTGAACCGTTCTTAAAATGGCATAAATAAATCTACGGGGATTCTATATAAGGTAGGATAACAGACACGATGGGTTTAATTGAAAAAAAAACAGTTGTAAGGATTTTCAAAGCAATCGTTTCGAACAAGTTTGTATATACAAACAAGATGAATTCGATGAAGAAAAACTGACTGAGCAAAAGGAATTTGGTAAGGAGAAGAAACACGTGCAATAAAAAGTACTTTCCGCGAATAAATTGAACAACCTGGTATCTATGCAGTTTCATTTTAGAACTGATAGTCTAATTGAATGCTGCAGCCAACGAAAATATTTTTGAAATTCATGTATACTATTAAAAAATAATTGAAAATACAAAATATGGACGTTTTTGGCCCACTCCTCATAGGAAACCATGGTTACCATATTTCCAAAAACAATGAATTATCAGACATATTTAAGCAGATCTCTGATTACATCAATTATGTCTCTAATAGTACAATAAGGTACAATTTTATATCTTCAAGAAAGAGTTGTCATAGATCATCCACATCCCAAGTATTCACAGTCGCCTGTAAATCAACAATTTATGCTATTTTAACTAGAAAGTTAAAGTCCCCTCCAAAGGTTAGGCAACCATACTATTTACGTTTTCACCGGATAACATCTAAAGCCTGTTAATGTTTGGAATTTAATCAATTTTGTTTCTTGATGCAATATTTCTAAAAAAATTGATTTTGATGATTTCAAATAGTCAAAACATCGATTTTTGATAGTGATCCAAAGGGGAACTCCCGATTACCAAACTTATCGAGGGGAGTGTACGCCAAAATGCATTGTAATGCAACGTATACTCGATAGTCTAACTACACGCCTCTGTGACCCCCCCCCCCTCTACTTGACTAAACACCATCTAACACAGGTGTGCAAGGTCTTGTAGCTAGACAATATACTCGATGTTATATTTGCAACTCATAAAAAGAATGTATAGCGGAACCATCAGCATCTTACATCCCCATTTTTGGTTATTGGCTGAGATGCTCATATTGGCCTTGAGGAAGTGGCTTGCATTTAGTTGGTTACCTAAGTGATTGCCCTAGAATTATTTTGTCTAGAGCTAGGTGACGGGTAGTCCGGTAGGTGAGTTGTCTTGGCAGCCTAATGAATTGTATAGAAGAGTTGTCCAGTATTTCTTGTCATTTTCCCACTTAACTAGTATTCATTTAGTACCAAATAAGGACTAGGAGGAAGATCTTCGTTAAAGTGATTATAGAAAGTGAAAGAAGACAAGCGATTCAGAATATGATTTACGAGACACTTAGGTTGTATTATTTCCATATAAAAGTAATCCTAATTTAAAACCCATTATGTGATAAATGATAGAGCCAATTATCTTGCGTCATCAATGATACGTGTCTTTGGATTGACATCGTTCTGTATCTGTATATCCGCTCAAAGGCAATAAACTGCTTTTCATAACTATATCAAAAACGAACACTATATTATTGTATATCGTGAACATTGCTTCCATATCTGTCGCAGGTTTTGTCATTGGCTAATAATGGTTTTCTTGCATCTGTCTCCGATGATGTTTTCATATGCTCTGGGTCCCTGAAAAACACATATGAAACATACATGATACAAATGTAAGATACATATATGGTACTCTCATCCTATAGAGACCTCTGTTTTTGTGATTTTTTGCCAGAATTTGATTCCATCATGTTTAAACCTCTATGTGTAAAGTTCATTGACCAATGTTTAAAAAGATGGTCAGCTTTTTGTTTACAACTGCATACCCTTCTATTTTATCAGATCCCTCTTTTGTGGGGAGGGGGTGGGGTGTAGGAAGTAGAATTGCAATCAAAAAATGAACATTTTATTCAGATTGCTTAATTACACGGTGGGCTAAAAAGCCACTTTTTAAAACAAAATGCTATAATTTTTTTAATTTTCGATCCAAAATCATAAGTTGCATACCAAATGAAACTTGAAGATGCAATCTAGCCGTGGATTATGAATTGTACACTTTTACTTCAATAAAATATATCACCATCGTCTCACTTAAACATGTGGTGTGCCATGAGAAACGAACAGAATTTCCATAATGTACCTGAACTCATACAGCCTGATGACCACCGAGCTAATAGTCCTGATGAAAACCCCAGTGAATATTGGGTACGGGAAGGTCTCCAGGAGATGGTATAAAGTCACCCAATCTCAAAGATTGCTCAACTAAAGCTGGCAATTAAGACAGGTTGAAAGAAACTCAGTCAATATTTCATTGATACTGCTATATCAGCATTATTATTCATTTACTATTTGTCACGACTCAAAAAGTTATTTTAGAGATTTTTGAAAAAAAAATTTTTGAAATAAAGTTGTGACCATTTCATTTCTCAAAAATTCAAATTTCCCGTCATTTTTCAAAAAAAGTTGAAATTTTTTAATCATCAAATATTTCTTGATGCATTTCAAAAAAGATTATCTTTTTAACACCAATGCAAAGACTGAACAAAGGACACACTATTTCAATAATAAAATGCCATATTTAATGGGCAAATTCAATGTTTTAGCATATCAAAAATATTTTACAACATTAGTGATGTCACTAAGGTGGCAAAAACTTCAATAATAAACCAATGTTGATTGTCTAACCAGGTTAAAAGGAAGAATATGTTTTAGATATCATTAAAAATTGAAATTGAAATCATTGAAATTGGGATAACTTTTGAAATAATGATCAAAATCGCACTAAAATTTCACATTTTATTCAATCGAACATGTGCATTTATGACGTCACAATTGATTGACGGCTACAGTTCAAATTATCTTAAAACGAACGCTTTTAAAAATTTAGAAATTGTGTAAGGTTTTGAAGGCGAATGGGACGAGCAATAAGTTTACCTTCATTTAACCTTCTTTAGGTCTGATTTGAAAGAAAAATTAACTGCACAATATTGTCATGGCGAAATTTACAAAACAATAACCAGTTTGTCTATTTTGCAAATAATATTAAAATAAGAGCTGGTTTTCGAGACTTGAAAAAATGTGACGCATCGATTTTGTACCACAAATTCCATACATATCAATATTTACTAACGCCCCAAATGGATTTCTTGACCGTTTTTCAAAATTCAAAAACATTTTAGAAATATTGTCCTCGAGATCTTGCTACCCTGTGAATTTTGTAAAGATTAGATAAGGATAAAGTATTTTATTTTTAGGTTGAGTAAACTTGTAAAAAATGTGACGCTTGTCGTTTTTGACGTTGTAAGGCTGTTTGCGCCCTATACTGCTCATTGTTTTGTTTTGGTTTTTTGACGCCATAATGTTACGCTAATTGTCCCCAGTTTCGTGCGACGTGTAATGTACCATTGGTTTCTATGAGAACTAAAATTTTGAAATGCATTTTTCTCGGAACCATTTTCATGCACAGATGAGTTCATTTCTCGCTTATTTATGAACCGATTTTCTTAATCTTTTCGGCAAAAAACATGCGATGATGAATGCTATGCATTGGTATGAATTGTGGCTAATTAAAAGAGTGACCTCTAAAAGTTAGTTTTAAATAAATTCACAAATTTTGAAACAAAAGGTCTATCAAAAACCACTTTTTGAAATTTAAAAAAAGTTTCACATATCACACTTTGATAAGGTAAGATAACAATATAAGCCAAAGTGGTTTAAACTTTATATGGGGACTTTAAGGCTATCTTCAAAGAGGTTGGAGGACCACTTGAACTCCTCTTTTAGATCAAATACAATCCAAGTTGAAGGACTTGTTACATTATTTTATTATTTAGGACCACTGGTACTATATAACTTTAGCTTTAAGAACGCTATGACTTTAAATTTAACGCCATATGTTATCAGAGGATGATTTTCCTAATAGACCACCCAGGCCAACCCTGATATTTTTGTGTGGTTACCAGACTTATCGGATAATCTCTCAAATCAAATCTTCAAGTTTTCATGGCAATCAGTCGCCTTGCATTGCATTTAAAACGTTTTGAGAATCTCGTGGAAAATTCATTCTGAACTTTGAAATCGACGATCAAGTACAGGATGACCCCAAATTATTCAAAGTTTTTTGGTTCTGTTTTTTGGGACTACCTTCTTATTCTTCCGAAAGCCGAACGAGTCCTTATTTTGTTGCCATGTTTAAAAGTCTATAAACCCAATATCCACGTTAAACACCATATTTCCCGGGAATAGAAGAAATAATAGTATTCACATTTAAAAATTGTTTTATTTGCTTTATTTACTAGTTTAAGATCTCTGCTAATGAACAAAATCAACAATATATCTGCATATGACATGAATATGAGCTAAAATTTCGATTTGCATTTCACATTACATTTACTTACCCAGTATTGTAAATATACATGGCTGGAAGCATGAGAGCGATCGCACCAATACTCAAGTAAGTACTAAGATTAGCATGAGGATCCCAATAGAAGGGACATTCCCTAAACAAGGTCCAGAATAGAAAGAGAAGTGGGGTTCGTATTGTCTAAAATAGAACAAAAACATATTATGAAAGTGTTCTTTCAAATGAGGCATTATTATATATACACATTGACCTAATCAATAAAAGAGATGTACACTACTCTTTTAATAAGTTTACATTCACGAATTGATTTCAAATCTTCAGAGATGCCTCCCAGTCTGAAGAAATAGTCTCAAGGTATGTTGCAGTGAACTATATTCGCGCAAACATTTATGCAATGTCTTCAAGTTGAGGAATAGTGTTTACTATACTGCAATTAATGTATAGCATATGTACTTTAATTTTCATCACAATTATTACTTTAGTTACTACATATCACATTTTATTGGTGAACTTATTTTACAGGATGATTTCACAACATTGGAATTTGTTCGGAAAATTTAGTCCATCTATATATATGGCACCTTGGCATCTTTTGAGGTGGATCCCGGCTATGGCATTAATGGTTGACAAATAGGGATCGAAACCAGCCATAGTTTTCTCCTGATGACCATCATGCATTATTGTGTTTTATGGATTATGGCGACGGCTTTTGTGAATGGATGTTGACCCTTTGAAACGCCTATGGACTTGGAGACTGGATTTTAATATCTATCCCACATCATTTGAGACTGAATGCTCTATCTTGTATGAATACTTGTATCTACAACTATTTTTGAGGTTATGAGTATTGGCTATCTATTTCTAATTTTTTCTTCAACATATATTGTAATGACTTCAGTATGAATGAAATGTCCCTTGGTCTTCTGGTCTTGGATTGTGATATTGGTTCATGAATGGTGGGGGAAAGGGGGTATTAGACATTGTTTCTTTTCACGTTAGATCATGGTTTTTGGCTATATGTGGTTTGTTTTTCTTGACTGGTATGCACTTAGAGTTTGCTTTTTCTTGCTAAGTTCCATTACAACTTTTGGTTCTTTCCCTTTGGCACTTGTGCTTATATATTATTTGCACTCTGCGTGTTTTTTTAATATCCCCCCTTAAAAGTTTTCTAATCGTCAGTCGTTAAAAAGCGACATGGGGTATGAATAGGAATAAGATTAATGGAACAAAGCTGATTTATGATTCCAATTTTCCTTATGCGTATCCTTGTATGTTTTGATCCTCATATTCTAGATCTGCACTGTTAGATTTTAACTTTACTAATTTGTTGGGGTGTAAAAATTTACTCACTAAAAGCATGACAAGATAATTTGCCCCTTCTGTAAAGCGTAGGAACAGATTAATCCCGATATCTGCAATGATATTACACCACACCATTCCAGAAAAATAGGAAGCTTGTGTTGCACTACATCCTGCCAACCCAATACTACACTGAGCATTAAACCACCATCTGCACGAAAAATGGTAAAAATGGTTCTTATGGTAGAAACAAAATATGAGATGAGAAAGGCAAAGAAACATTGGCATAATCATTGGATAAAGAGTCTATATGTAAAATTATTTACTGAAATACCGTTATCTATTGTGTTTTATAATATTATTCATACATCAATTGAATATTAGCTACATTAAAATGAAAATGAAATCCTGTAATATATGACTTACGTTTGAAACAGATCGGAAATGCCAGACGCATTGCCAAAGCCTGGGATAATATCTACCCAAAATAGCACTACAGCTGCAATCAACTGAGATAAACTATACCCAAAGAGAAAAAATATTATGTTCAATCTCTTAGCTTCAGAGGTGTTCCCAGCTGACTTTTGAACACTTCTCTCATTGAATGTGTTTGTTAATCCAAATGGAATCTGAAATGATTAAGTGTGTTTGAGAATCATAATATTAGTACATGTAATGTAATATACAATAATACAATATGTTTAATTTCCCACTATTCAGAGAGCTATACAGTGCAGTGGTTATCCACTCGATTACGCTGGTTACCGAAACGGTTCGTTTTGGTAACAAAATGTCGGAACATCGAAGCTACGATTTTTCTTTTTTCCTTATTTCACAAGTTGGAGGCAGAATTCCCACGACATTTTTAACAGAAACGTGTATCAGAATCACATGTTTCAGCAATGTTTTACAAATATGTTTCACATATTTGCGAACAAATAGTTCAGAAGACGACAGAATCGTCGATTTAATTCCTCACTTAAGTTACAGGGTGTCCCAGAACTCATGAGAATTTTTTGAGGGAGATATAAGGCATGGGTGATTTTTCTTCAAATTTGGTACACTTATTAAACACACTTTGGGGAATAACTGACATGAATTTCAGGCACATATCTTTTATATTTTCGAATTTACTGAAATTTCTACATCGCCACAAACCCCGGAGTTATCGGGAAAATACAACAGTTTATGTCACATTTTGTCAATTTTATACAAATTCTCAACTATAAAACCAATGTTTTTTGTATAAGCTTAGTACAGCATTTTTCTCATATTGATGATGCACTTTGATAAAACAATATATAAACTTTGATAGAGACCAATACATCAACAGATTGTACAATTGGTTTGCTAAAAAATCATAATGACATGTTCCTGAGGGACTGAAAGAAATGTCCCCATTTGCTAGCCAATATGATCTTGCATATTGACAATGCACCAGTCAATAAGTCACTGCATGCATGTCAGTAAGGCATCCACTTTACTTTCTATTGAGACTTCACAGTACATAGTAGCTCCATATACTTGCCAGATTTTGCTCTACTGGACTTTTGATTTATTTGGGGACCTTAAACAAAGATTAGTGAGCCATGTCACTGAAACAGAGGAAGAATTGAGTCATGTTGTTTCAGAGCACCCTACAGAAATGGCTATTGGGGGATTTGGGAATGTGTATAAAGAGAAGCTGAAAAGACGACATCAACTGCAGATAATATGCTATAATAACTCTGTAGAGATACGTTAGCTGAATGTGTATGATCCTATTAACTAATGTACTGAAACGCTAAAATAATTCAATGAAAACAATGCTATTATAGTAGAGAAGTTGTATAAATATTATCAAAATGTGACGTAAATTGTTGTATTTCTCTGACTACTCCAGGGTTTGTGGCGATGTAGAATTCAAATGTCAATAAATTCAGAAATATAAAAGATATGTGCCTGAAATTCATGTCAGTTATTCCTCAATGTTTGTTTATTAAAGGGATCCAACACCTTACAAAACTTCTTAACGGAGAGGAATAAGGGAAAATGCTTGCCGGATTCTGAATCTGTGTATTTTTTAATGATTTTTCACCGTCTTAGAATTTCAATTTTTTTCTTTTGAAAAATCATGGATATCAAGGCTAAATATAGCTATACAATAAACATAAAAAAGCAATGCTTGGACTCTTCATGTTCACACAAAAAATTAATTAGTAAATGAGGTTTGATATTTGTGAGAATAAGTTGTACGAGTCGCAATGCTCTACAAACACCAGACTACAGTGTGGATTAGGATCAATGACACACATAAAAATTAATTTAAAAATATTTCATGATAACTATCTCAAACAAAAGCAGTTAGCGAAGGATACATTTCATTACACTCAATAAATAGTTATAACTTTTGACTATATATACATATCTCATGGGAATGTATTTCCATCTGCTCAAGATATCATATTTTAGCTGTGAAAATCACAATCGTTGGATAATACATTTGTCTCAGAATGATAGGCCACCCTGTAGCAATGTAGCTTTCACTTGAAGTGTACCCTTGAGAATAATAATGAACTTACTTTCAAATTGGTCTTGCTTTTGTGGTGTATGTGGCTTTTTAGCAAATCTGCCACGCTCATTTCTTTCCAGAACGATCTTGTTCACATGTAACACTAGGCTATACGCGCATGTATAGACAGATGACATAGATATACATATAAATTATATATTGCACCTGTATTTACTTACATGGGAATATTCCCTTTGGAAAAATGCAAATGCATGAACATATATTTTCATCTTATATATGACTTCAAGCTAACATATTATTTCATATTTATATTTTCATAGTTAGTCTAACATAAATAATAGATCCATGAGAACAATATTCTTTGTTTTCTTAAAAATTGATGGGTTTACTGTGAATTCAATAAATTACAATTTGCAAGGGGTAAGTATACTGTATGACCTTAGTTGCAAAGTACTGTTTATATATGCAGCTCAATAGCATAAAATATGTTGAATGAAGCATATGGTATGGATTAGTCGTGTGACACACAAACTGACCAATACATGAGGGTATTAGCTACTTTTCACAGAAACCAAAGGAGGACAGTGCTTTTATTTCAACTGGGAGCTTACCTCCACACGACTGATCATGTGACCATGGTGTTGGGTCCCTTTAAGTGCACTTAATTTGAAGGAAAATCATTCATGCCTTATAGCTCCCTCAAAAAATTCTCATGAGTTCTGGGACACCCTGTACATAAACGGTTTTTCGAAAAACAGTTAATTAAGATCTGCACTTTTAACCCAAACCGTTTATGTAACTTAAGTGAGGAATTAAATCGACGATTCCGTCTTCTGAGCTATTTTTCGCAAACATGTACATTTTCTAAAACATATGATACTGATATACGTTTGTGAGAAAAATCGTACCTTCGACGTTCCGACATTTTGTTACCAAAATGAACCGTTTCGGGAACCAGCATAATCGAACGGATCACCAGTGGAATGGGCTAAAATTGTTACCCTAATTCTGATTGTATACTAGATAAGTAACATTTGTTCGGCCCACCGTGTATTTTAGCAGTTTTTCGAATATCGATCTTGCACAAAATTTTCACTTGCCATGACTGCTACAATGCAACATCATATTCTCTCATTTTTGCACAAGAAAGACCTATATGACCAGCAAAAATTCTAACAATATGTTTTTTTCAAAGCCTTTGCTTAATTATATATTACACTAATACATTTTGCCATGTCACATTTCCTAGCAAAGAATGGGCTGTGTCGAGAAAGTAATCTTAAATGTTTTCGCCAAACTTTTAATAATCAGATTTAACAGTTTTCTCGCCACGCAAGGTCATCTTGTAAAAGAGTATAACATTAAATGTCGAAATGACACGACATAGGAATATAGGCTTATAAAATGGCCGCCTTAAAATCTGCCCATCGCGCTAAAACCTAAACATGATCTGTTCTAGAAACCAAAACTAAAACATCCCTGAAAGTGTCGATTCCTTTTTTCTAGAAATATGAAGAAAAGAAAGACGATGTCACCCAATCACCAAGTTCACCCATAATACATTGCATTGTTACGATAAAAAATATTGGGAGATGAAGACAGGATGTCCAAAATTGTACCAAGACAAACATGGAATACTAGTAAGTGATGAAGGAATATTTAGTCAATTTAGTCAATTTTGACAATTTAACTATCATTAACATCTAAACGTTTCACCCACAGGGGCTTGGCTGGAGTGTCGGACAAGCCCTCCGATGAGTGTGTATTGGTTAGATCAGTAAAAACATATCGGAGGGCTTGCCCGACCCTCCAGACAAGCCCCTGTGGTTTCACCAGATAATTCTAAGTTACTAGTTATTAGAAAAGGTTGTCTTGCACCATGACCCATTTCCAAGTTTAGAATTCAGTATTCATTCAATCGTGATGGAGGTCATTTAGAGCATGTCATCTAAAATGTCATATTTCTGAGTAACTGGCAATTTTCGATACATTTTAACTGCTAATTTGAGGATGAATTGTTTTTATCCTGTATCTTTTTCGATGAAGGAAAAAAGTACCTCTTTTCATTTGGGCACATTTTTGGGACACTCGGTCAGTCAAATCTTACCATTGATGAAATGAAGCAGAGAGGCCACAACACACCTGCTACTCCCTGTGCCCCTCCATCTTGTTGGTGCTGGCTACTTGTCTCCAAGGAGGGAAAAATACTCGGAATGAGGCACATTAACTCAGATAAAAATACAACAATAGCACATAACAGTTTCTTGAGGGTTGGTCTTTTCCTTAGAATTATAAATCTGGAATAAAACAATCAGTCTCAGGACTTGTATTTGCAAATAAACTGATCGCGAGACGATAGACTAGACTGGCTTTGTGTAAATGGCAAAACATTAAACTGACTGTTTTGTCTCAATAGATTTTAACTTACCTTATCACAAAAGTAATGGGAATATTGAAGTTGCTCAGTACGGAAATTAGATATGGAGCTGTTCTTTTCCCACTCAGTGCAGCACAAGTTAGAATGGCTGATATTGTAATTGCAGTACCTGGGATGAGGAACTGACGTTTGGGATATTTCCATTCAAACTCTGTGATCTTTTTGGGGAAAAATACAAGAAGAGATAACAACAAAATTCCAAATAACAATGTGTTTGTAACGCCCTGCGTAACCACGATAAAGAAGGTATCTATACGTCGGTAAGATGGTACCGTTGAGGTATTGTCAACAGTTCCGTTGCATGATGTGGAGTCAATCCACAGCGGGACTAAAACCAAAGATCCTATGCGGCTGAATATGACAAGACTTCCTAGGCCAATCGTAAGCAAGGCTTTTTCGTAGCGAACCATACTGCGTTCAATCCATTTATAATAAGTGTTCTGCGTGAATGGTAGTACCGTCTAACGATTGCGATCTTCATCTATTATAGCTGAGCACCTTTCAGTATGTCAAGTGATTGACCTACACTGTTGCTCATAAATATGGAATATTTTATAGATACGAACTGTTCGATGGAATTTCTACAAAATGATAACATTTTGATGAAATTTTGTATTGTGTTCTCATTCCCTCATCAGTTTTGCATATAAAACTGATTGGTATGAAAAGTTAAAACATTTATGGTTGATTAAACTTGTATTCACTCAGGTGACCCCATGACCTCATGATATTGGTAACTTGAAAGAGGTGTCCAAATCTTAGTTGTAATCATTGTGCACATTTTATAAAAATTTAATTAAGAGTTTTTAGAAGGCATGCCCCATAGAATATAGAGAAAAAAGAGCATGGCAGGTCATAGGGATGGCGCTTTCTGGCATGAAACAAACTGCCATTGCCAGGACCCTAGGGGTGTGTCAGGAACAGTCTCTAAAATTTTGCAGTGGTACCAAAGGCACTGGAATATGACTCTAGGTCATGGCAATAGTAGCCCTAGAGAGAAAAATGTAAGAAAAGACCACCATCTGCTGCATTTATGTCATCAACATCGCTTTAAGTCAACCAGTAGGCTATGAGATGAATGGCTGTCTCACCACAAAGCCCGTGTTCCAGAGCTATAGACAACCAGTGATTTCTTTATAACGGATGCAAGGCCATGAGATCTTTAAAGAGACCACAGCTGACTGATCATAACAAAGAAAGGTGCCCTCAATGGGCAGGAAAGCACCAAAACGTTGGACCTAATCTTTGGTATCATATGAAAGCATGTGAAGAAATAAGATGTGTCCTCCACAAAGTTGACAATTGTGTTCGTTTCTGTCGTAGACCAGGGGAAAGAGACAATAAGGACACTTACTGATGTGGCAGTCCATGAAGGCGACCCTTTTTATGTTTGGAGCAGTATTACAGAGGTTGTTTGGAGCAGTACTACAGAAATTGCACCCCCTTGGTGATTCCCAAACATAATTTCAGAGTAAATTGACCTTTTGGACCTCCATCAAGTACCACATGTAAACAGAGTGTTTTGGGGCAACATTCAACTGCAGAATGATCATGCTGTTGCATATGCTAGAGGCATCATGTTGGATTACACCAGGGCAGGCAATGTGGACCAGGTACCATGGGCACAAAACTCAGCTAATCAGGCTAATGCAGAGCAAATGTAGGACGACCTTGGTAATGAGATTCGTGACTTGGACCCCAATCTCAAAATTTAGACACATTACGCACTGCCCAGATTGGGGAATGGGGCCTTATTTCACTTTGAAAGGTCAGATGTTTCATTCAATGCTGGTCCCGTAGGGTCGATGCTCTGATTGCAGCACAAAGAGGACATATCACATATTTGTGCTATTATTGGATAGAGGACACTTCAATCTTCATGACCAGATGTTTATTTTGTCTGATCTGTTTTACATGATGATTTGGATCAGGCTGTTTTGAAAATGCAAAAATTCTTAGCGTACCCCTGTTTAAGTAACAGTAATTTTCTAAACTTAAATGTTAATATTTTTTCTCTAAAAAATGTTGATTTGTAGGTGAAATATGTGGTTATGATTTGCCTAGAAAATAAATGTCTGAGCCAACTCCAAATAAATGTTCTCTTACTCAAAACTTTGAATTCTGAGCTGCCAAATCTAATATTCCATATTTATGAGCAACAGTGTAAATCATAGAGTGATATTGTTCATAGACCTAGTTTGTAAACAGTTGCTATGTATCATATAAGATATCATATACAAGGCCGTCGCCAGGGGGTCGCGTCGGGTGCGCTTGCACCCCCCCTTGAGTTTTGCCTCGTCGCTTTTTACAAAATTTGACTCGTCAATTTTTTTTTATTTGCCTCAGAAAAAACGTGAATATTTTGCCTCAAGTCACTTGTAGCACTTTCTCCATGGCTTTGACGCCACTTTCCATACGAGAACCTGGAATGTCACTCTGATTAATACCCAAGATCTATTAAAAATGAGAGAAAGAATGTTTCGTTCTCATAAACTTCCGGTTGTAGCACTGCGCGAATAAATTTGACCATGATAGTGTATTGCGCAACCTTTTCAAATTTGCGCAAGAAATTTTATCCCGCCTTCAACACTGAACGAAAAGCACAGCCTGAGCACAAATCTTCTGTAAATGCTCCAATTGAATTCTACAGATTACGATATAATTTGGATTAGTTGTGAGAGGATGATTTGTAGAGGTGATGAATGTAAGTAATAGTTACTTTTTGAGCGTAAAAATACTGAAAAATAAAAACCAGAACAGTAGGAACAAGACGATTAATTTTCAAGTTTTTTGAGAAGAATATTGCTGTGTTAGCATGGTCGTGTCCATTATAAGTGTGGGGGTGGAAGGATTCGTAAAAAATTCTCTCCTCTTTTCTGTTGATGAATAATCACGATGCATATACCCATTTTTAACAAGATACATTTAAATAAACATGCTTCGCATATTTTGCGTATTTATATGGAAGGAGCCAACCACTCAAAAGTTGTCTGCTAAGCTGACACCCCTTTCTCTTAAATATATTTCCCCCATTCCTGAATTTCACTTTTCACGATATAGATTGTGTATTTTTACAACTGCCACTTATTAAAATATTCGCCAGAGTTGTGTCTCTATAGGTATGGAACCAACACACCTGATTCTTTGAAGCCTATTTCACTTTTTTTTCCTTTCGTCATGTGCTGAACTCTCCTGTATTTGATATAGATTATCTATATACAAATCATATTCCCGGGATCTCATAAAGGCTGGGCAAGTGCGTCAGCATTTGAAGGCGTTTGCCAGGATCATGATATCATTCTCATTGAATGTTATTATATTCCCATTGAGCATTGGCGAGGCTTCGTGGCCTTTTGATATCAAATCGTTCACATGCCCCAACCCCGTACCAAGAGGATATAGGTCCATACCCGTACAAATACATAAATATCAGTAGGATCCCATACCAAAAGTAATGTGCAATACCAATCAATGAATCATCTGTGGAGGGTAAGTCTATAAGTTATCACCCCATGTATGTTTAGGGAATATGTCGAAATGTACTTCAACATGTACGTAACTACCTAATAATAATCATACTAAAAAGATAGATAGTGAGTGATACCATACCAAACATCACGTCCAATGCCATAAAAAAAACATTTATCAAGTACACAAGACATATCATCACTTCTTAATGAAAGCTCTGGATCTCGTAATATGGTATTGTGAACAGAGGGTTATATGTACATTTATGAGGAGTGAGGTTGTGGGTTTGATTCCCACCAGGGTGGAGTGACTTTTTTCACATCAGCCCTTAGCATAGGATTTGATCCTATGTTTTCAAATTAAATATTTAATGAAATAAAGACTTTGAGTGAAATGATAATAATTCACAAACATAATTCAATTGATTATATAATTGTTGTCACACAAATTCCGAGGCCACTACCATACCCATGCTCTAAAAGGTCAACTCAAAGAATCCTCATTCATCTGATTTTGTAGAATACTCTTAGTCAAAATATTTTCCAGAGGCTTTGGAATAATTCTGAAAATTTTGTGCTGGGATAAAGCCTTGTGATATTCAAGTTTGGGATCCTCCATTGGATCCTAGAATTGGAATAAAGAAATGTTTGTAATTGGTTACGCTATTCAAAGAAAACGAAAATCACTCTGAAAAGAATATGTAATATGAATAAAATAATCATAAAATAATCATTGTCTGTTAAACTTCACTGATCACTTATTATTTTCAGTTGATGTGGTGAAAATACAAGGAGATGGGTCTTGTATGTTCCGGGCCTTATCTCGAGGCTGTGACTCAACAATTACATATGTAAAAGAGCGACAAGCAGGATTGACTTTTAGAAGAAAAATATGTCGTCATTACAATAAACATAAAAAAAAGTACAAGGAAAGAGGATGTGTTCCGATGGAGAGATATAAATCACTTGATGAGGAAATGAGAAATATGACAAGAGAGGGAGTTGAAGGTGGAGAATTTGAGCTCCAGGTGAGTCAGTAAACACACTACAGTATCTTAAATTTATGTACTATTAAAGACATGTACTTATGTATCAAATTAGAGATGGAAAGGCTGACAAGATTGAAAACACTGACTTGAAGAATCTTTATTTGATATTTATTTTATCAAATTATGTAAAGTTATTCATCTATTTAAGGAATAAAGAATCGTGTATCATTCTATATTGGAAAAATATAAAAGCATGAGTGTATGTACTATATATTTCCAATATAGAATGATACATGATTTTTTATTGCAACATGACTCTGGTGATGATGAAGTAGAACTGTTCACCAATTACATTTACAAGATTAGTGTCTTTGAAGAAATCAAAATGTATTGGACAAGTTTATTATAAAGAAATGCTAAATAGGGGTGTTGGGTTACAATTGATATTCCTTTGAAAACTATTGAGGTTTTGTTTGTCAAAATATTATAGGAAATTAAATAATTAATTTGATGTAGAAAAATTATGAAAATTTGATTGGAAAATCATAGCATTGACTGAAATGAACCCACTGATGATATGCTGTCACCCCTTTTTAAAGAATAGTACTGGTGAGGCTGGCATTTATCAAAAATTAAATGCACAGCAAAATCATTTTCATGCATTTATCAATAAATTAAAACACTGAAATGTTCCAAGCTGATTGGCTGAGACACACTTGGCATGTTTGAATTACCAATACTTAAAGGCTGAATCTAATCTGGCAAAATCCTTGAGAGTACTCTTGACAAAACTAATTTCAATTTAAGAATATTTTGAGCTCATATCATTCCTTGTCGGGTCTATTTTCTTTGGAACTTTGAATCCTCAGTAGCTTCATCAATTTATAACATGTTGTGAGTCTTTTGGAATATATTATATTATATTTGAGATTGTAAGGAGTATATTGGTATGTCAACTGAACATTGCTTGCAATTAAGCCACCTTATAGATCTGATTCTGCCTAAGAACATACCTAGTATTTGTGTTTGTTACCAAGATTTTTCAAAAGTTTATTATAATACAATTAAAATATTCTAGCTTAGCTGAGCCTCTGAGATCAAATAAGACAAGTTATTGATAATACTAGTATTAATATGTACTTTAAAAAGAAAAAAGTTTTACATCGAACCTACACTATAATGTGTAAATGTATTATATATTATAATCATGTACAGTTGACCATGCAAGTCTCTTATTACTAGAATAATAGTTTTTAATTTTTTATTTATTTAGGTTGTGGCACTTTGTGGTATTTATCATTTAAAAAGTATGTAGGTTTATCACAGTCATTAGAATAAGATTGTATAACAGATTATTTATTATCTTATTTTTCAGCTTGCTGCAGATGTTCTTGAGGCTAGGATCCTCCTTCATCAAGAAGTGTTCACATCTGAGGATGGGTGGAGGCAGAAAATCATTGCAGAGTACTCTGGCGGAAAGAAACACACTATCCATTTATTTTACAAAACCAGTTGCCAAGGCCGTGAAGGTCACTATGATTTACTAGGTAAGTATACATATCTGCAAGCAGGTGCCTTGGCATTTTAATTTTAGCATTATTTAAAATGAAATATATTGAAGATTACCCACTAAATACTTGTAAGAAATGATGTGCGTAAAAAAATGATGATGTCTAGGGTATTAAAATACATTATTAAATAAAATATATTCTTTTTTTGACTGGTACTAGATGACTGGATGTGTGAGTAGATTTTGTCCCATTGACACTTTTTGCCGCTTTCCGAGTTTTTTGCCTCATTAATCTGAAAAATTTGCCTCATGCACCCCCCCTTGAGAAATCCTAGCTACGCCAGTGATATATGTCTGGGTCCTGATGTCAATGTAATCTGTGTACATGTTTTAAGTAACAAGATGTTATGATTTTAATCATGTCAAGAGTGTTAAAAGGGACACTTGTGTTTAAGAATATATGGACTGTTTTATATTCACTGTGTATATAAAGCACCGAAGAATCTATTTCATGAGTTATTCTTCCATGCTTGCTTTCGCCAATTTATGAATGATTTGGGAGGAAATATCTCAACATCTAACTATACTTCCTCTTTCCAATGATATGTCGTTTTTTCATATGTGATCATGGTCCACAGAATAATCACTGAATAATCATTGTATTTTCGCGCATGGGTGAAATTAATTGCCAAGGTAAATCATTATGTTATTGGGACTGGAGATTAATTCTAGTCACAAGACTTACATAACACAAGTTTCAGATTTACTATGAAAAGGTTAAACTTTAAATAAGTCACACCATTGTCTCTCATTCTATGAAAGATTACAGACCATAACCCTTCACCTGGCCACCATTTCTCTACACGTGACACAGAGACTGGTTCGTCTCTCTTTGTCACAAACACCTCTTTAACTCATCTGTTGGTTCTGGCGGAGAGCAGCAATCACTTGCACGTCGCGGTATCCAACCCATACTATGCACGCAGTTTGTCAGTTTTATTGTTCCATACGTCCATTCGGTGGCGATTATATGATTCTACCATGTGATAGCAAAAGTTATGTCTAGATGAACGTAAGTTTTAAAATATAAGCAGATTATAAAAAATTGTCATCGGTTTTCGATTACCGAAACATAATACCGACACATTATATGACGCAACACAGTTACACGTCGCACGAAACAGGGGACAATTAGAGTAACATTATGGCGTCAAAATACAAAAACAATACAATGGGCCGTATAGGGCGCAATCAGCATTATAACGTCAAAGACGACAAGCGTTACATTTTGTCAAGTTTAGTCAACCTATAAATAAGATGCTTTATTCTTATTCAATCCTGGTGAAATTCACAGAGCATGAAGATCTCGAGGACAATATTTCTAAAATGTTTTTGATTTTTGAAAAACGGTCAGGAAATCCACTTGGGGCGTTAGTAAAAATTGATATGTATGGGATTTGTGGTAAAAATCGATGCGTTACATTTTTGTCAAGTCTCTAAAAGCAACTCTTATTCTCTTATTATTTGAAAAAGAAAGAAATCGGTTATTGTTTTGTAAATTTCGACATGACAATATTATGCAGTTAATATTTTTTTGAAATCAGACCTAAATTAGAAGGTTAAATAAAGGTAAATTTATTGCTTGTCTCCTTCGCCTTCAAAACCTTACACAATTTTGAAAATCTTAAAAGCGTTCATATAAGACGATTTGAACTGTATCCGCTAGGCAATTGTGACGTCATAAAAACACATGTTTCAATGAATAAAATGTGAAATTTTAGTAAAATTCTGATCAGTATTTCAAAAGTTATTCCGATTTCAACGAACCGTGTAAGCGTGAAATGTAACGCCTTACAGCGTATCTGACGATGTCGGAGTACATTTAACTTAAAAAATATGGTAGATCCCATCATACTTTTCAAGGAAAAATAATTTCAGTGAAATGCGAATAAAAAATACTTAAAAATGATATATAATACACATAGTTAGCTTTTTAAATAAGGCAGATATTAACGCTTAAAGCTGAGATTAGCCCGTATTTCCCGAATTGTCCTCAGGTCCGTGCACGTCTATATATATTAAGAGTTGTGTATCTCATGATAATAGTACAATAACGTCATTTCAAAGGGCAATATAGTGAAATATTGGACCAAGGGCCGCAGGCCCAAGGTCCAATATTTCACTATTTAGCCGGCAGAAATGACGTTATTACTATTATTACCACCGTTAATGACCAGGGCTGAAATAGCAAATTTGAAATAGAAAATCTTACGCACTGAACGATATCACTTTTCCCGGGAAACATAGCCGAGCGGATAATGTCATTATTGCCCGACTAAAGTCATTAACGCCCGACACAATATTGCTCACGTCAATATAGCAATTTAAATGCCTTCTCAACTAGTACTAAAACCCCTAGAACAGGCCCTGCAAGGTGGCAATAATGTAAAAAAAGTCTGATCTTTTAGCCCATCTTTAGGGCTATGTCAGGGAGAAAATCTCTCCCCTTTGCTTTCTGCTTTGTTTATAAATGATGTAGAAGCCTTTTTACTTGACAATAGTTGTGAACCTATTGTGAACCTACGCACAACTAAATGTACTTTTAAAGTTGCTTGTTCTATTGTATGCAGATGATACTGTGATATTTGCTAATTCTATGACCAATTTGCAAAATGCCTTTTCTAAATTATCACAATATTGTAAAAAATGGAAAGTCCACATCAATTTAGATAAAACCAAGGTTGTGGTTTTTAGTAATAATAAAACTGGTAGAAGAGGTATTCAAAATGTAGTTTTGGATGGAATTAAACGTGAAAATGTGTCTGTTTTTAAATATCTTGTTATTATTGATCAAAAGGATGGATTTAATCAAAGTATTAAAAATGTATATAGCCAGGCAGAAAAGGCCATGTTTGCTATACTTAGCCAGCGTAATAGATATTCGTTACCAATTAAGACACAATTACATCTTTTTGATACGCTTGTTGTCCCCATTTTGTTATATAGGGGTGAGGTATGGGGCTTTATCAACAATACAAAAATAGAAAAATTACATTTAAAGTTTTTAAAGTAAATCCTTAAAGTCAAAGCATCAACACCAAACTTTATGGTTTATGGTGAGTTAGGGAGAATGCCATTAAGAGTAAAATCTGATTTATGTATATTAAAATATTGGTATAGATTAAGCACTAACAATGAAAAAATGATGTAAGTAATAGTAGCATAGGTTTTAATTATAGAATTTTTAAAACAGAATTTAAGTTACTACTTATTTTCACTGCCTCACAAAAATTAGAGTCATTTTATCAAAATACAGAATGTCCAACACAAAATTACCTATTGAGAGGGGTAGGTATAGAAATGTAGAAAGAAATAGAAGATTCTGTGAACTATGTAATAACAATTCATTAGGAGATGAATTTCATTTTATATTAGAATGTAGAAAACAATATTTACCCCAATATTTTTGTAAAAACATTAGTACTTTTAAATATGCCAAGCTGTTACAATCTGATAGTAAAGTATTGTTAGCATTATGTAAGTTTTTAAATGAGGCTGTGAAGCAATTGTAAATATGTTTGTTACAAATACTTAATTGTTATATGCTTATTTACTGTATGTACTTTTGCCCAATACCCTTTATTTGGGTGATGGTATAATAAATATAATTGAAATTGTAACACGAAAGCTCCTTAGGGACCTTATATTGAGATAGCTAGGTTTACACCAGGAAAAAATCGAGTGCTACTTGAAAAGTAAGCTAGTCTCCACATAATGGTAATGTCTGATAGAAAGAGGAGACATGTGGCTTCATGATAAACTAAATCAAATTGATGTAATCATTACTGGTTTTATGGGTGTTATGGGTCGCACTGAAGTGATTAGCGATTCAGAATATGATTTATGAGACATTTAAGGTTGGATTATTTCCATGAAAACAATCCTAATAGACTAGATGCGAGTAGAAATAATCTAGATTTACGTCATTAAATATTCAAAATTCAGTCAAAGTGAAATCATATTTGAAATCTACATCTAGAAATATGGTTTCGAAAATTGTTAATCAACTTTGAAAATCTAATTTTTTTGAAAGTGATCGGTTTGATTCCCCATAGACCCCATGTTACAAAATCAAAAAAGTGAAATATCTTTTATTGTATTGAACAGATAACATTTTCCTTTACTGGATATATTTTATTATATATTTTTTTTGTTATTTTTTACATATTTAGTTTTCTGTAACTTTCTACTATACCCGCCATGCCATCAAGCCATCCGACCCGAACAAACCACCTGGTGGTGAAACTGGTATACGTCATACTCGCATCTGTGTTATTTAAAACGCATTATGTGACAAATAATATACAGCATATCATCTTGCGTCACCAATAAGTGTATTTGGATTGATTGACATCATTCTGTATCTGTATATCCGCTCAAAGACAACAACATGCTTTTCATAATTGGTTATTAAAAACAAACACTATATTATTGTATATCATGAACATTGCTTCCATATCTGTCACAGGTTTTGTCATTGGCTAATAATGGTTTTCTTGCATCTGTCTCCGACGGTGTTTTTGCAATATGCTCTGGGTCTCTGAAACAAACATGAAGCATACATGATACATCGCACCAATTCTCAAGTAAGTACTAAGATTGGCATGTGGATCCCAATAGAAGGGACATTCCCTGAACAAGGTCCAGAATAGAAAGAGAGTGTATATTATAAAAATGAGCCAAAATATCGATTGATATTTAACGTAACATATACCTACCCAGTATTGTAAATATACATGGCTGGAAGCATAAGAGCGATCGCACCAATACTCAAGTAAGTACTAAGATTGGCATGTGGATCCCAATAGAAGGGACATTCCCTGAACAAGGTCCAGAATAGAAAGAGAAGTGGAGTACGTATTGTCTGAAAGAAAACATAAATATGGTATAAATGTACGATTACATACTCAAATGATCAAAGATGCAATGGCATGCCCTGCTCTTTGAGCAATATAATTTCACATTTAAGCATTGATTTCAAATCTTCAGAGATGCTTCATGGTCTGAGGTAATACTTT